GCGCCAGAGCCGGTCGCTCGCTGCCCCGGAGGCTGGAGTCCCAGGTGGAGGAGGCCCACGCCCTGGCTCGCAGACCACGTCTTCTCACTAAGTCCTCACGCGGCAGAGGGAGACTGAGCGAGCTCTCCGGTGACTCTTCTCACAAGGACACTGATCTCATCCTGGGGGCCCCGCCCTCACGCCCTCATCTAACCCTGATGACCTCCAAAGGCCCTGCCCCAGATACCCCTACATTGGGGTTAGGGCGTCAACACACAAAGTTTGACTGACACCCAGGGACACCAGCTAGTATCTGGCAGGATGCAGCTTTTCGGGTGACAGTGGAGAGACAATACATATGATCAAAGAAGGAGGGAGATGCAGACACCCCAAGGTGTGTGGTGGGCGGTGGCCGCCACCTCTGGGCTCCCTGCGGGGGAGCACAGCCGGGATTCCAGCCAGGCCCACGGTGGGGGCCTGCAATCGGGCCATCAGACACCAGAAAAGTGGCCCCCGGACGTGGGGCTGGATTCGTGAAGCACACGACCACTGAGCTGGGGACCACAAGCAGAGACCCGCTTGGAAGCCACCCCCGAATCTGAATCCCACCTACACACACGCCCGTCGGGATCCTTGTTGGGCATCTGTCCTCTTCACCTGCCTCCTGGGGGCACCAGCCCGCCCCACACCGCGAGAGGACAGAGCGCCGGAGCCCAGGACCTCGCACACCATGACTGCATCTCGCTGGTCGTACAGAAACGAGGACGCGGGCCCCACCGCCGGCGATGTGTTTGCTGGTGACACGGTCACGGGTGGGAGGCGGAGCTCTGGACTAAGGGGGAGCCGTGTGGAGCACGCCCAGGTTTGTTCTGACTGAGTCTGACCCACGACCGGCCGGGCGCAGACAGGTCCATCTCCTGAAACGCGAGGCGTGGAGGGAGGTGACGCCGGTCTCGGCTGTGCCCACTCCTGGCTCCGGCACAGGGCGCACCTCGCGTGACTGGCCGTGGGCTCACAGGGCCAGGCCGAACAACCCTGAACCTACGGAAACCACCAAACTGTCCACCTGCGACGTGAGCACGATGTACAGGGCGGGTCACTGCACCACAACAAAGCTCCCGCAAACAGCCTAGCAGTGAAGAGAGGGAATGGGCCCCGGACCGTTCGGTTCGATGGTTAGTGTCAGCCCACAGAGAGGGGTCTCAGGTTCGATTCAGGTCAAGGGCAGGTACCCGAGTTGCAGGTTCAATCCCTGCCCCCATTCGGGGCACATGCAGGAGGCAACCAAGCCCTGTGTCTGTCTCACATCGCCGTTTCTCTCTCCCCCTCCCCTTTCCACTCTATCTAAAAATCAGTGGAAAATTCCGCCCTCGGGTGCAGATTAACGAGAGGGGGAGGGGGGAGGGGGAGGGGGAGGGGAGGAGGTGGGGGAGGGAGAGGACATGGAGAGGTAGTTTAAGGCAGCAGCGTGCCCCTCAGTGAGCGTCAGGAGCCACCAGAGAACGGGGCCAGCCACCCGCCGGAGGACCGGTGAGCCCCGGCAGGCCCGCCCCAGATGCCAGGCGTCAGGGAGCAGGGCTGCCCACCTGCGCCTCCGATGCCTGCCCAACCGACCTGGGCGCTGCAGACCACCGTGAAACCACAGGGAGTGACGGTATCTGTCAGAACTGAGATGTCCTTCCCTTACCGCACCGCCCACCCCGACACGTACAATCCACCATGTCTGAGTCATTCCAAGGTGCACAGCCATCCACCGACTCCGGTGTTTTCAACACCCCAAAGAAACGCTGTCCCCGTGAGCAGACGCTCCCCCTCCTCTCCGCCATCTCCAGTCTCTCCCCAGCACCAAGCCACTGTCTGTCTCCACAGATTTGCCTTTTCAAGACATTTCTTATAAACAAGTATACAAAACATGGACTCCTGTGCGTGGCTTCTTCCACTGCAAAATGTTTTCAAGGTTCAGACACCTGCAGACAACCTGGACTTCGTTCCGTTCTGTGGCTCAGTGATACTCCATTGGATGGATGTGAGTCTGTTCTTCCACTCACCGGCTGATGGACATTTGGGCTGTGTCCACATTTTTGCCGTTAGAAACCATGCTGCTATCAACATTCGTGTGCAAGTTTTCATGGGGCGTGTTTTCCGCCCTCTTGGGTCCACATCGAGGATTCGTTTCTCTTCATCCCCACTGTGTGTCTGATGACAACCACCCTGGTGGGGGTGACGTGGACCTCACTGTGGTTTCCTCATTTCCCGATGTCTAATGACGCTGAGTATATTTCCATGTGTTTACTGGCTGTTTGCACATCTTCTCTGGAGAAATGCCTATTCAAAACGTTGCCCGATTTTTAACCGGGTTATGTCTTTTCGTTGCTGAGTTCTCAGGGTTCTTTATGTATGCTGCATACTAACCTCCTACCTGACATGGGAGTTGCAAATGTTTTCTCTTACTCTGATAGTAAGTAGCCTTTGCAGCACAAACATGTTTCATTATGATGAAGTCCAATTTATCGTTGTTTCAAATTGTTTCTTGGTTGCTGGTAGTTTGGTGTCATAGCTAAAAAAAAAAAAAAAAAAAAAAGGTGGCCCAATCCAAGGTCATGAGGATTTACGTCTGTTTTCTTGTTTTACTCTCTTGGCTCTTTAGTATCCAGGTCTTTGATCTACGTTGAGTTAATTGCTGTAGACGGTGGGCGGTAAGGGTCCAACTCCATTCATCTGCATGGGAACATCCAGGGACCCCAGTGCCGTGCACTGAACTGTCTCCCAAACCCTGGGCACTGGGGCACTCTGCTCCAAAACCAGCTGCCCATAAACAGATGAGCTGATTTCTGGACTCTTGATTCTATTCTTTTCTGGGGTAGTTTTCGCTATTCTTGGTCTTTCCTATTCATATGAATTCTAGGACGGGTTTTCCCATTTCTGCAGAAAGCCAGCTGGGATTTTGACAGAGGTGGTGTGGAGTCTGTAGACCAGTTTGGGGGGCGCTGTCATTTTCACAGTGTTGTCTTCCAATCCATGAACATGGAACCTTTCCATTTAAGTCTTTAATTTCTTTCAATGTTTTGTGGTTCTGTGCACATCTTGGACTTGTTAAAAAACTGATTCCTAAGCAGTTTTTTCTATGCTACTGTAAATAAAATTTTCATCTTTTTTGGGTTGTTCATTGCTAATGTATTGAAAAAATTTACAGAGCTGTTTTGTAAATGAGAGACTTGAAAACTTTTTTAAAGTGTTTTTTTAATTAATTTTTTAGAAGGAAGCAACAGAAACATTGATGTGAGAGAGACACATCAATTGGCTGCCTCCTGCACGCCCCCTACTGGGGATCAAGCCTGCAACCCAGGCCTGTGCCCTGACCGGGAATGGAACCGGGACCTCTCAGTCCCTGGGATGACACTCAATCCACGGAGCCACACCGGCCAGGCAAGACTTGTACATTTTATAGCTTGAAGGAATTGGTGGGAAAGGAGATTTCAGGATATGCATGAGAGAGGGTAATCGTCGAAAAATTCCAGGGAGGCAGGCAAGGAGGAGTTCCCTTCTTCAAGATGGGAGGCAACAAAACAGAAGTAAGTTAAGCTTGGCACCAGAGGGGAGGGCAGAAAGCTGCCCTCACATCCGACGGTCTCTCCTCGGGGTGAACGGGACAGGTCACTAGGGAAGATGGATCGGGTGGGGGGGCTTGAAGCAAGAAAGGGAGAAGGAAACTTGCTGCTGCTGGTTGGGGTGACAGGCCAGGCTGCCGTCCCCCACGCTCCGCAACGCCACACTGAACTGCTCACTGACTCCTGGCATCGTGCAGGCCCCGCTAGACACTGGGCGCACTGGGACGTACCAGCGGCAGGCACACTGCCCGATCGGGATTGCAGTGGGTGTCTGACATGTGTCCTCTTCCCAAGGGGCGTGGCCCTGCTGCCTCCCGGCTGTGTCGTCCTTCACAGGAGACTGACCTCCGCCCCGACCTGTCGCCAGGCCTCACGAATGGGTGTGGCGCCCAGCCCACCAGCACTCAGGGCCCCTTCCCACTCGGTCCCCGGTGACAGAACCCACAGACGACCCTGTGGTTTGGCAGATTGGAGTTTATTCGCTGCGGTTCCTTGGTGCTAGTTTACAAGGCAAAAAACCCAACCAAACAAAAACAATTGGAATAATCATTATAATTCTTTAAAAACCCTGTCAACAGCTTTCAGTCATTTCTTTATATTTTATATTTTGACAAAACTTTTTTTAAACAAATACAAAATAATCTAAAAGGAGAAAAACTATACATGGATAATTTACACCTCTGATAAATAGACTAATACTGACCAGGTCCCTCTGTCAGGGCAACGGCCCAGCAGCACCCGAGCCACGCGGACTTGGGCCGAGCACCCCCAAGGACAGGCTGCAGCCTGGACCTCTGTCACCTTCCCAAGTCCTGCATGAAAAGGCCTGAAGCCACTCCAGGCAGACCTGCAGGAAGAGGGAGGACCCGGAGCCCCGGACACTCCCTCCCCGGCCTTGGATGGAGCTGTTTCCAGAGATCCCAGCCTGCCCCGAGGCGGCGCCCCCACCGCCGCAGAGTCCCTGAGAGAAGGCAGGCAGGACGAGGCTGTTTCCCGGCTCCCGTCGGAAGGGACAGCAAAGCAACGGCACAGGCCAGCCCGCCCCCCACCCCCCGCTCCACCTGTCTGCCCGCAGGTGAGGGCTGCCCAGCGGGGCAGGTGTGAGGCCCAAACAGCTGAAGCCCTGGGCGTGGTCAGACCCACTCCTTCCTCTAAAACGAGGACAGGTTTGGGGAGTGGGAGCACAACCAGGGAACAGCTAGGTCACCCAGGGCCTCTGCGGGGCCAGCTGCCCCGGACTCGGTCGTCAGGCGCTGAGCTGGGGAGGCGCTGTCTGAGGCGGCGGCGCGACCAGTGGGCTCTCCCCGCGCGGGCGCCAGGGCACCAGGGCCACCTGGGCCACCTGAGGCCGTGTCAGGCCCAAGTCCTTGCTGCTCCCACCGCCCTCCCGCCCTGGGGCCCACCCCTGCCCCCAGGCCCTGCGCTGACACAGCTCCGCTTTATCTTTCTCTTTTTAAAAAACAAAAATATATCTTTATAGCACGTGGCTTCTCCTCCATTCCACTTGCCCGACACGGAGCTACAGACATGGGTTCTGGGGCGGGGCGACGGCCTCCCCAGGGCCACCTGCCACGGAGCCCAGAGAAGGCCCCCGCAGCAGCTCGGGTCCCTCTTCCCAGGGCAGCCGCGGGTCCTTCTCCCGCTCTGAACAAAGGCAGAAGCTGAAGCTAGTCTCTAGGTTCAGGGCGGCGCCCAGTGAGCGCTGCTGCCGGCGCCCCCTGGGCGGGAGCCCTGCTCCTCCGCGTGGACTCAGTGTCTCTTCGTGGAGGACACCTTCTTCTTCCGCGCGGCCAGCATCTCGTAGAAAGGGTCCCTGCTGATGGCCGCCCTGGAACACAGAAGGGGACGGAGAGGCTGAGGATCGGCCGGAAGAGACAGGCTGTGCCGGACGCCTGCCCGCTCCAGGGCCTCGCAAAGGCCGAGTCAGCGGCATCCACTGTCACGCACGACGGCTGAGCAGACACACGCGGCCCAGGGGACGAGACAGCCTGGGTGCCCACAGGAGCGGCTGTGGACTCGCTCGGGGAACAGCTGGAGCTTTAGTCCCACGGCGGCAGCTGGCGTCTGTCGGGAGCAGCGACACCCACCATCCAAAGGCCACCCGGCCGCACCCGGCACCCGTGCTTCTGATGGCGGACTGTCTGCACGTGTCCCCTCTGAGCCCGTGCTCCCCGCTCCGTAACCAGGACCGGCTCCGAGCCGGGGGAACCGCCTTGACCTTTGTCATTCTCAGCTCTCAAGCAAGTTGGGACCCAAAGTTCTGAAACTGAACTTGCTTTCGGAAAAGCAGTGCCAGGGGCTGACTGTGCCGGGGCAGCGCACAGCCCTGCACGTGGACTGGGGCCCACTCACTGGTGGTGCTGTCGTGAGCAATGTCCCCAGGGCTGCTGGGGCGAGTCCCCGAGCGCCTCACAGAGGTATGAGGGAGTGTTGCTGGCTCGCAGCTGAACTGGCAAACACAGCCCTGGTTTTGGCAGAGATGCCCCCCAAACAGTAAGAACGACAGAACGCTCAGCCCCTCAGGAGCAGGCTGTGCCCGAGGGACGATGCCCAGCACATAGGACAATGCAAGGACGTCAGGGCCGGGCCCACGCAGTCAGGGAGGCCCCTGGTTTCCAGAGGAGACACTAAGGGGACAGCTGGGGCACGTCGGAGGACAAGGTGTGGTGGGTGAGCGGACGCACTCAGGGGCCGCAGAGCAGCGATGCGCACGCGGGGCGTGGCGGTGCCGGGCGGGCTCCCACCAGACACTGCAGCGGGCCCTGCCCTCCCTCTGCCCCGCAGCTTCCCGACAGCAGAGCCCAGAGCGCAGCCACGTGGCTTCGGGCAAAGCCCCCACCTCCATGGCCCCCCTTCCTCGTCTGTAGGTGGGAAGCATTTGTCCCAGGACTCAGAAATGATAACACATGTAAGATCACTATCGCCACTGAACCGTCACCATGAAAACGAAACCTGCGCCTGCAGACCTGAGAGACCGTGCAGGGCGGCTCCCACTCCCCTCTGGGCCTGTGGGTGCCGGGAGCCTGGACCGCAGCCTGCCAGGACGCTGGGTGCAGGCCGCACGTCTCCTCGAGCACTCCCTGGAGAGCCACCACGGAGCAGGGGACGCAGTGCCCTCGGGGACGACCCAGCGAGAGTGGGCACCTACCTGATGCATTTGATCCACTCGTCCTTCTCCTCGGGCGTCGGGGCGGAGATCCGGTACACGGTGTGGTTCCCCTCCACCACGCGCCCGTCAGCCTCTGTCTTGCAGGCCTTGATCACCTGGTCCTTGCTGTCGGGGATGTACAGCTCGAAGCAGTGCTGAGGGCGAGGGGACAGAGACCTGAGCACGCTGCTGCCAAGGGGCACGTCCGTCACTTCCCAGAGCCTCCGCCAGACAGGCGTGTTCCGGTGGAAAGAGCCCGGAAGCGAACTCGGCAGAACAAAACCGCATCTAAACAGGCCTCCTCGGCAGAGACCCCAGAACCAGTCACCGGACGGGCGCACGTGACAGGCAGAGACGCAGGCGGCGGCCGGGCTCTGCCGCCCTCGGGAGGGACTGCCCCACGGCGCACGCTCAGGAAGGGCCGCTCGACGGGCGGCAAAGCCGAGGACTGCACAGCGCTCCACACGGGGCTCCGGGCTGGCAGCTGCTCCTTCCCCGAGAGCTGCGCCCCGGCCCCTCCGCCCCCCCACGCCTCCCCAGAAATGCTCACCGGCTTCTTGGAGTCCTCCACCTCCCGGATGCTCAGGTTCTCCAGAGGGATGATGCCCCGGGGCTCCTTATCCTACGAGGTGGGCAGAGCTCAGCTGTGTGCACATGCTGCCCGGCAGCCTCGCCCTCCGCCTTCCCCCACCTCCCCCAGCTCCGCTGGCTCACTGGGGCGCCCCCCAACGAGCAGGCGTGGGGAGCACGAGGGGTCGCAGCGCCACAGGTGAACCCCTATCAACAAAGGCCTTGGCAAGGAGCATGCCCGCGGTTCAACACATTTCGGCAAGAGAGTAACAGCAAGAGCCGGGTCGGCGCTCGGGGGACTGGCAGCCCCTCACGTCAGACTCTGTGGGGTCTCTGCTGGTCCCGGCTCCTTTCCAGCCTCAGCTCCGGAGCCAGCCACCTGCAGGGCCAGGCCAGGCCTGGGCCTACCTGCGGCTGCAGCTGTCACGGCATCCCCCCCGTCCCTCGTCCTGTGACCTCAAGTGTCCCGGCATCCCCCTCGTCCCTCGTCCTGTGACCCCAAGTGTCACGGCATCCCCGCTCGTCCCTTGTCCTGTGACCCCGAGTGTCACAGCATCCCCACTTGTCCCTCGTCCTGTGACCCCGAGTGTCACAGCATCCCGCTCGTCCCTCGTCCTGTGACCCCAAGTGTCACGGCATCCCCGCTCGTCCCTCGTCCTGTGACCCCAAGTGTCACGGCATCCCCGCTCGTCCCTCGTCCTGTGACCCCAAGTGTCCCGGCATCCCCACCCGTCCCTCGTCCTGTGACCCCAAGTGTCACGGCATCCCCCCCGTCCCTCGTCCTGTGACCCCAAGTGTCCTGGCATCCCCCCCCGTCCCTCGTCCTGTGACCCCAAGTGTCCCGGCATCCCCACCCGTCCCTCGTCCTGTGACCCCAAGTGTCACGGCATCCCCACCCGTCCCTCGTCCTGTGACCCCAAGTGTCACGGCATCCCCCCCATCCCTCGTCCTGTGACCCCAAGTGTCACGGCATCCCCACCCGTCCCTCGTCCTGTGACCCCAAGTGTCACGGCATCCCCGCTCGTCCCTCGTCCTGTGACCCCAAGTGTCACGGCATCCCCCCCGTCCCTCGTCCTGTGACCCCAAGGAGGAGTGCCCACCCGACAGGGACACCTCCGCCAGATCCAACAGGCACCCCGACGCCGGCCCCAGCAGAGCGAAGCCCTGCCGCCCACTCGCCCGCCGGTCCCCCCGGCTTCCCAGCTCGGCGGGCTCACTATCACGCAGGGACCTGCACACGACCAGACAGTCGCCACATGTCACCCCTGCCCTGGTGTCCAGCCCACCAGGCCGGAGACTGTTCCGAGCTCAACAGCTCAGCGGCTGAGCCCTGGTGCCAGCGTCCATGACCCGTGCGCCCAGACCAGGCTCACAGCCAGGTGTCCCCCCTCGGTCACAGCCTCCTCTGTGCAGGTCCTGATCTGGCACGGGGGTGGAGTTTATCTGTCCTTCACGTCCGTCAGCTTTTCTCTAATTATTTTTTATTGTTTTTAACTTATTGGGATGATGCTGGTTAATAAAATTACATAGGTTTCGGGTGTCCAGTTCCACCACACACCATCTGCATATTGTACTGCGTGTTCACCACCCCAGTCAAGCCTCCTCCCTCCCTCACCCCTCACCAACACCAGGGCACCCGTTCCCCCAGCTCTGACTCTGCCCCCGGCTGTCACATCCAACACCAGGGCACCCTTTCCCCCAGCTCTGACTCTGCCCCCCGCTGTCCCATCCAACACCAGGGCACCCGTTCCCCCAGCTCTGACTCTGCCCCCCGCTGTCCCATCCAACACCAGGGCACCCGTTCCCCCAGCTCTGACTCTGCCCCCCGCTGTCACATCCAACACCAGGGCACCCTTTCCCCCAGCTCTGACTCTGCCCCCCGCTGTCACATCCAACACCAGGGCACCCGTTCCCCCAGCTCTGACTCTGCCCCCCGCTGTCACATCCAACACCAGGGCACCCTTTCCCCCAGCTCTGACTCTGCCCCCCGCTGTCACATCCAACACCAGGGCACCCGTTCCCCCAGCTCTGACTCTGCCCCCCGCTGTCACATCCAACACCAGGGCACCCTTTCCCCCAGGCGTGCTGCCCACGGGCGCCCTACAGGCAGTTTTCCCCAGCGAGGGCACAGCCGGAGCCTTGGCCAGTGTCGCAGAGAGAGCCCACCCAGCAGCGGGCTGGGGCTGGACTGCCTGGCACTCGGAGGAGGGGGAGGGGAGACTTCCTGCTCAGGCGCTTCTCCCAGACCGCAGGGCGTGGGGCACAGGCGAGCTGGTGGGCTCGTCCTTGCTGCCCTCGTCCATGTGCACTGACCAGTCCTGCCTGCCCTTGTTTCCCTAGAACCTCCTGTCCGGGCTCTGTGCGGAAGCCTACCCCTCCCAGGAGAACGCCAGGGTGCCTTCTGCATCGCAGAGAATGGACTTCTGGACCCCACAGCCTGACCGGTGCTGGCACGTCATGAGCGGGTTCAGTGACGTCACTGTGGGTGGCCTGGGAGAACCACAGATCCTGGAACCTCACTGCGTTACTATGAAAACTGTCCGGACTCATGGCAGACTGTGCAGAAGCCTACAGGTTTCACTGCAACCCAGACAACGGTGGGAAAACCCAAAGATGATTTTGAAGATGTCATTAGCCCAGTCGGTGTAGCTCAGTGATTGAGCGTCGACCCTGCACCACGAGGTCGCCAGTTCCATTCCCAGTCAGGGCACATGCCCAGGTTGGGGGCCCGATCCCCAGTGGGGTCGTGCAGGAGGCGGCCAATCAATGTTCTCTCATTGGTGTTTCTCTCTTTCCTTCTCCCTTCCTCTCTAAAAATCAATAAAAATAAATAAATAAAAAATAGAGGTATCGGACTTCTGGTCAAGACGGCGGGTAGGTAAGTGCGGTATCCGTCCTCCCACAACCACATCAAAGTTACACCTAATCTACAGAACAACCATCATTCAAAACCGCCAGAAATCAAACTGGATGGAAGTCCTACAACTACGGAATTAAAGCAGCAGCCACACGGAGACTGGTAGGAGGGGCGGAGGTGGTCCCACACCCACGTGTGGCGGATAAAAATCAGGAGGACACCTCGGCTGGGAAGGTCCTCCCTGAGGACTGAGGGGTCCCCATCCCACACCAGGCGCCCCGCTCAGGGTTCCAGTGCCAGGAAGAGAATCCCCATCACTTCTGGCTGGAAAAACCAGCGGGAACTGAGGCTCAGGGAGGCTGAGGCGGCTGGAGCCCCAGGCAGCTCCTTAAAGGGCCCGCGCACGGACTTATCGGACTCTCTCCCTCTGAGCTTGGAGGAGAGGCAGCTCGAGGGGCGCCAGAGACACAAAGGGAAGAACTGAGCTGTTTGGCACTGGAGCGAGGGCTGGAGAGGGGGCTTTCTCAGGGACAAACGTGCTGTAAGAGGCCTTTGTTCCTTTGGTGAGCCCTTCCCTGGGGCGGCAGACAGCTGCCATATCTGGGACTCCAGCAACCTGGCTCACACTGGTAGCCCCGCCCTGCTGACTCCCTGAGGCCGCGCCCCGCCCCACACAACTTTCAAGCCTACCCAAGCTGTTGCCAGTTGCTTAACCATAGGATTGGCCTGTCTTGGATCCTGCTTCAGGTTTTTCCTAAATTCTTTCAAACAAGCAGCAACTGGTCTCAGCTAGCCCCATACCACGGCAGCCAAAATGAGGAGACAGAGAAACAGGTCCCAAATGAAAAAACAGAACAAAACCCCATGAAAAGAACTAAGCGAAATGGAGATAAGCAACCTAACAGATGCTGAGTTCAAAATACTGCTTATAAGGATGCTCAATGAACTTAGTGAGAACCTCAGTGAACTTAGTGAGGGCCTCAAGAGCATAAAAAAGGACCAGTCAGAAATCATGGATGCACAGTTAGAATTGAAGGAGGCATTAACTGAAATAAAAAATAACTTACACAGCTTTAATAATAGAGTACATAAATCCAAGGAGCAAACCATCGACTTGGAATATAAGGAAGCAAAAATGCCCAATCAGAACAGCAAAAAAAAAAAAGAATCCAAAAAAATGAGGATAGTGTAAGGAGCCTCTGGGACAACTTCAAGCATGCCAACATTTGCATCTTGGGGGTGCCAGAAGGAGAAGATCAAGAACAAGAAATCGAAAACCTGTTTGAAACAATAATGGCAGAAAACTTCCCTAACTTGGTGAAGGAAACAGACATACAAGTCCAGGAGGCACAGAGAGTCCCAAACAAGATGAACCCCAAGAGGCCCACACCAAGACACATCATCATCAAAATGCAAAAGGTTCAAGACAAAGAGAGAATCTTAAAAGCAGCAAGAGAAAGGCAGCTAGTTACCTACAAGGGAGTTCCCATAAGCCTGTCAGCTGATTTCTCAAAAGAAACTTTGCAGGCCAGAAGGGAGTGGCAAGAAATATTCAGAGTGATGAAAAGCAAGAACCTACAACCAAGATTATTCTATCCTGCAAAGCTGTCATTTAGAATCGATGGCCGTATAAAGAGTTTCCCAGACAAGAAGAAGTTAAAGGAGTTCATCACCATCAAACTGTTATTATATGAAATGTTGAAGGGTCTTTTTGAAGAAAAAGAAAATATATGAACAAACAAAATGGCAATGAATACATATCTATCGACAATGGAATCTACAAACAAAATGAACAGGCAGAACAGAAACATTCTCATAGATACAGAGAACATTTTGTTGGTTGCCAGTTGGGAGAGGGGTTGGGGGAATGGGTGAAAAAGGTGAAGGGATTAAGAAGTAAAAATTCATTGCTAGACTGACAAACCTCAAAGGGAAAGGGGTTGGGGGGGTGGGAAGAAATAAACCAAAGAACTTATATGCATAACCAATGGACTCAGACAATAGTGTGGGAAAAGGCGGGAAGGGGGCGGGAGTGGGGAGGAGGGGGTCAATGGGGGAAAAATGTGGAACATCTGTAATACATTCTACATCCAACAATAAAGATTTAAAAATAATAATAATAAAAATTGGCCCTGGCCAATTTTGCTCAGTGGTTAGAGTGTTGGCCTGTGGACCAGGGAGTCCTGGGTTTGGTTCCAACTAAGGGCACATACCTAGGCTGCAGTTCGTTCCTGGCCCCGGTTGGGGTCGTGGGGGTGGCAATCAGTTGATGTGTCTCTCTCACATTGATGTTTCTCTCTCTCTCTTCCTCCCGCTCTATCTGCAAATAAATGCAAAAATGTCCTCAGGTGAGGATAAAAACTAATAATAATAAAAATCAATAAAAATTAAAAAAAAATAGAGGTGTCATTAGTCTAGAGATCTTCAAGAAAAAAGGCACTTGGGGGGGATAAAAATTCACTGAACTGCTTATAAAAGTGGCACTTTGGGGCGTGGAACAGGAAGACTGCTCACTGTTTCGCAGATCGGCACCCACTGCTCTGGTGTCTGGAGAGCTCTCCATAGCAGAACGGCAGGCCCGCTGCGTGACTTCAGTGGTGCGAGTGCAGCCCTGTGCACCCAGAACCCTGGTCAGCGCGGCCTAGGAAGTCCCCGGACGCCCCGCACAGCACATGCAGGGCAGCGGACACTGGTGAATCCCATTCCCTCCGCACGAGGCCACGCTGCCGAGGGCCGAGGCGGGGAGCACAGCAGAAACCCACCTCGCTCCTGGGCAGTCCGCAACCACGCCCAGGACCTGGCTTCCTACACTCGCTGTGCTCTCAGGAGGACCCTGGCCCCCGTGAAGACGGCGGAGAACCAGGCACGGCCCCCCCAACGTGAGTGGCTGGACAACGCGGGACAGGGTGCAGCGGCCAGCCTGCTCAGGTGCGCAGGGACAGCGGCAGAATAGGAGTTGGCCAGGTGCTGCCGAGGCTTTGATCCGCCAGGCCCTTCCCGCGGAGACGGAGAGGGAGCGTGCCCGGGCCTGGGAAGCAGCAGTCGGGCGGGAGGCCAGCGCAGGGGTCCCAGCTCTCCCACTCGCTGCGCCTGCTCACCTGTCACACACTCCGCCTTGAGCTGCTGCTTCTGAATCAAACGACTCAGTATTTCTGCTGCCCCAGAACATCTGAATTCTCCAAATCACGCGCATGTCACCTCCCTTCCACAGGCCACAAACTCCATCTTGCTAACTGATCGAAGCTCACCCCTCTCGCCAGCTCCAACGCCCATTTCTAATGTGATGTGTGACGTCCTCTCCACTGCTTTCTCCGGGCCCGTCTTGACCCGGACGTTGGCAAGACTCCCACTCTTCAGGGTCTGTCTTAGCTCTTCCCCTCCCGGCCCCACCGCCTCCTCCAACCACCACCACCACCACCGGCTAGTCAGAGACGGAGGCCTGGCCCTGCCCCGGCCGACCAGCGGGCACTCACCGTTGTGTACTCAAAGTAGTAAAGGCAGTTGTCCGTCAGGATGAACCAGCGTCTCTTCCAAGTCTTCACCCTGCCACCTACGGAGCGGAAAGAGACGCTGTGGGCCAGGAGGCGCCAGGCAGGGCAGGCCCGCACCATAAAGCTCCCTCCGCGCGAGGAGGCGGCGAGGCAGGGCGCCCGGGGACACGGAGACCAGGGCAAGGTTCACATCGGTGACAAGACACAGAGCCAGACAGAAGCACCTTCACCGAGTGGAAGTCTGTGGGCACAAGCAGAGCGAGCAAGTAGGTGGCGCCTGAGATGGAGCCAGGACAGCGATGGAGCAGGGCCAGAGCAGGGTGGGAGGGAGGCTCGGGACACTGAGCAGGGCCAGAGCAGGGCGGGAGGGAGGCCCGGGACACTGAGGGCTGCCCTCACAGGTCTGACTGGGGCAGGCGAGATGCTCTCGGTGGAAGTGGGAAAACAAGCAAAAAAAGGGGAGAGGGTCCGCCCCCTGGCCTGGGCTACCGGGCTGGGCCGTGCAGAGCTGCTTCAGCACACGGGCTGGGGGGGAGACGAGGAGGACATGCTCCTCCTGCACCATCACACCCAGCTTTCCGGACTGCGAGCCGCGCCTTCCGGGAGCAGGGAGCTCCTACCCCAGCTCTGGCTCCTGGCCCCGGGCCCTAACCCTAGAACTGCCCAGGCTTAGGAGCCTCCTCAGCTCCAGGCCGCCCACTGGAACCTGCAGCGAAGGTGACTGGGCAGGGCCACGAGAGCACCACGCAGCTGGAGCTGGCGCAGGCTCTCAGTCCTTTTCGATGGTTCTCAGCTGGGTCATGGGGTCACGGTGCGGTGACACCGAGGAAGGGAGGCTGGACTGGGCCTACTTGGATGAAGCTGTCCAGCGCACTCACACCACGGCCACGCCGAGTCAAGAGACAGCTTCTGAACTGACCCATACAAATTACCCAGAGGCCTTCCGTGTCCAGATACACGTGGCATCTTCTAAGAACTCGACTGCCCTGGACAGCACAGGCCCTTTTTGCTAAGAGCTGCCCTGCAGAGATCACTTCCGCCATCTTCACAGAGAGCGAGGACCATGGGGTTAAAGCCAGGTGACCTCATCATGCTCTCTCCTGCCTCAGCGGTGTGGGGGCGTCCCACGTGGGACACGGCGTGTGCACGCGGTTCCCGAGAGCAGGCGACGGGGAGATGCGAGTGCTGCCGCGAGGAGCAGGCAGCGCGGGCCCTGGCAGGAAGGAAGGGCCGCTGGCCCTCCGCAGGCTCCGCCGGGCGCTGAGCTCTCGCAAGGCTAGAGGCCGACGCTTCACGCCGAGGTTCTAAAGGGCACAGAGCCTGGCGTGGAAGGTGTGCCGTCAGGAGCACGTGCAGGCCCCCGCCCTGCACTGCTGTCGGGCAGACTGACTCTCCCCAGCGACTGGGACTCTGTGTGAGCACGTGCCTTGGTCCCTAAGGCAGGGGTTAAGGAAAAACATGGATGGAACTATGACATGCATGTGGAAAACTTGAAAGGCTGGATAGAGGCAAAAGGAATGAGGAGAAAGAAGACAAGGAGTTTACTTAGAATTGGAGCCATTTTGATAAAAAAGAAACCCACCCCCCCATTTTGGAGTCTGCCACCTCAGCTCGTCCGCCTCTTGGGCCTCCATCCCCAGCACCCAGGACACCTCAGCCCTTGCTGATGACCATGCACTCCCCTCACAGGGCCACCTGGGCACTCGGGGCTCAGGAAGTCATGGGAAAGGTCATGTGCCAAAGGAGGATGGGGGAATCTAGCAGAAAGCAAAGCTGGGAAGACCCTGCCCTGACCGTGACAGCTGGGCCGTTTCCCCGAGCACCTGCGCGGCCGCAGGGACCTCTACCAGGGAGCTCTGCTGCGGCCCCAGGGGGACAGTTCCACGTGGGAAGGAAAACAGACATGAAACAAGCAGACAGGTCAATGCGCACCTAGGACAGTCCCTGTGGAACTCACAGGACCACCTCCTCCTCAGTCCCTGAGCTCAAGGTGGAAAGGCCACAGGCCAGCTTCCCCTGGAGTCGGGATGGACGGCACCGCGGGGAGGATTTGCTCTGCCCACGTCAGGCCAGGCCAACACCCGAGGAGCCCTGCCTGGGCAGGTCAGCTTTCCCCACACCAGCCGGTGCGGAGGGGACCCGGCAACGAAACCAAGGCCATGTGGGGTGTTGAGTGATGATTCATTGAAAGAGGAGGGCAGAAAACAAAACATAATAACAGAGCCGAGCCGTGGCCGGGGTGGCTCAGTTGGTTTAGTGTAGTCCCTGCACCAAGAGGTCACAGGTTCAATTCCCGGTCAGGGCACATGCCTGGCTTGTGGGCTCAATCCCCAGTAGGGGGCGTGCAGGAGGCAGCCAGTCAATGTTTTGCTCTCTCTCTCCGTCTCTCTAAAATAAATCAAAACATATTTTTAAAAAATTAAAAATATAAAAGCCAGAAACGAGGTCAGAATGCCTTCCCCTGACACCCAGGGAACGAGGCAAAGGGCTTCAGGGAGGGCCTTTCGGTTTCTGTCTTCTTTTAAAAAGTTTTACTGCCCTGGCTGGTTTGGCTCAGTGGTAGAGCGTCGGCCTGTGGAGCGAAGGGTCACAGGTTCTATTCCGGGTCAAGGGCATGTACCTGGGTTGCAGGTTCAATGCCCCGCCCTGGTCAGAGCACGTGCAGGAGGCAACCAACTGATGTGTCTCTCTCACATCGATGTTTTTCTCTCACGCTCTCCTTCCCACACTATCCCCTCCCCCAAAAAAGTCAATGGAAAAATATCCTTGGGTGAGGATTAACAAAAAACAAAACAAAAAAAGTTTTACTTGGCATTATTTTGAGTTTAGGAAACACCATGTCCCTTTCACACAAGGTAAATGCCCTCCTGGGCCGTGTACCCCAACCCTCTCCCTGGGTGCTTTCTGGTCACAGCGGGCCAGGAGCACACAGCTTCGGGAAGTCAGGATGCCCTCCTCTCCCCCGCTTTAGAGATGACTGGTTCGCGGGGTCCCGGACTTCAGCAAGGAGAGCCCGGCCGGGGCCCCCGGTCCCGGGAGCGTCTGTCTGCCCCTCGCGCTGCCGCGCTCAGGACGGCCTGCCTCCCGACCGACTGCACGGCTCCCACCCCGATCCTGGCCAGTTCCCTAGGGACTGTACGAGAAGTTAGAAGCAGCATTAACACTACCACCAGCAATTAAAAACAAAATAACCAAAAATAACAAAGTAAGAAACGCTGCAGCGATTACAGTGGCCTGGGCAGAGCGAGCGAGCGGGGGAGGGGATTACATACCTCCTGGAGTTTGGGGCAAGGAAAAGGAGAGCCCAAATCATGGAAACATACAAATGAGGGAGAAAAGAAAATTAAAACAAAGAAATTAAACCCAGCTCCTCAGTCTTAAAGTGCAATGTATAGGTCATTCATGCCTGCTGGGGCGGGGCGAGGGGCAACCGCGGGTGCTGCTGTCTGCCTGGGGGCGAGGGGTCTCCGGCCACACCCCACCAGGTGAAGGCAGGGTCCGAGGCACTGCCGGGTGCCTGCCACCAATCAGTCCTGACAAAGCTGCTGCTGACTCGTGTATCCAGACCCCAAGCAAAGAGCGTGAGGACTACTCTGGGGAAAATGAACTTTCTTCAGCTGGCATCTGTTTAAAGTGTGTGTAAGAATGCACACACAAATCCATGCATACACGTGCGTGTGTGCATGCACGAGAATACGCGTTCTAGCTCTACGCAGGTGGACACACACCTCCAGACAGCGGGGAGCCCTGCCCTCCGCAGCACAGACAGGAGGGGCTCTCCGTGAGCACAACACAGAGAGCTGAGGGCGGTTTGGTGGGGGTTGAGGGGAAAATGCAATGACCTAAAAATCCCACACGTAGTTAAATTTTTTGTGTGTAAATTAGGGAAGTCTCATAAATTCGCATGTCCTGGTGCAAGAACCAAGACAATCCCTGCACTGTTCTAATTTCAGCGCTGGGCTGCCGTCTAAGCACGTCCTGCTGGAGGGAAGCACACGCAGGCTTCCTGCCTGCTCCACCTCCGGCCGGTCTCCTTCAGCTCCAGCAGCTGGGCTGCAGAGCAGAGGGGCTGCCTCTGTGGTTAGTAATTTAATTTAGAGCCTGAACTTCAAAGATCCTACCGACTTAGAGATAGAGAACACTGGCTAATTCGAGCTTAGAAACTCTCATCAATGAGGTGTGCATTAAACGTGAGTGGATTAAGTCACTAGGCAGAAACACGGTCTGGGAGGCATCTCAGAAGGAGCCGTGACCCCCACTGCTGTCTGTGCTGTCGAAGCAGAAGGCTCCTCAGCACTGCCCAGGTGACAGCCGAGAGGAGCAGCTTCTAGCCTCGGCAGGACAAGCGGCTGGAATGGCGGAGGAAAACCACGAGGTCGAGCGACCCTGCCCGTGTGGGACCCACAGCAGAAGGCCGAGGCAGAACAGAGCGAAGTGCTCTCTCAGAGGCCAAAAAGTGGACATCATCATGTCCAGGGCTCTCTCTGGGCTCTGGACCAACTAGTAAAACAATCTCCGTGTGGATGTGAAGGTCCAAAGCCCCGCCATTCTCTCCCTTTGGCTGCTCGAGCACCTCGTGGACAGGTCTCAGCCATGCCCCTCACTTCTGCAGAGGGGAGAGCAGTGCAGTGACCCTGCTGAAGGAGCAGAATCACTGGCGTGGTGGCTGCTGGGCCGGGAGGGCGGGGAGGGGCTGCGGGTGCGCGGCGGCCGGGCCGAGGTTTGCCATGCACACTGCCTGTGGGAGCCGATGCAGAGCGGATGGTGCGCTGGGGCACAGGGTGCACGTCTGTGTGATGGGAGGCAGAGAGATGGACGCAGCTGGCCACCCACCCGGTGAGCAAGAGGATGGGCAGGAAGGGGAGAAGGACCAGGGCCATCACTTCCCGAGCGAACAGGGGGAGTGCAAATGCACGTGGGCAATTTCAGGGCGCAGTGAGGTCTGTTCCCACAAGTCTCTAGCATCCCCTGGGGCCCTGACTGCTTTCATTTCCTGCCTGGAGGTGGATTTGTGGTGACAGCATGAATTCACACCAGAGTCCCTCCACAGTGCCTCCAGGAAGGACCCCGTCTTCCTACAGCACGTGCACCCGCGCGCGAGTCGGCACACGCCCGTGCTAAGTCTCCGCGTGGGCCGAGCCCAGAGGGCCTCACTCACCGAGCTTCAGCAGCCAGCCTTCGCGGTCTGGGTTGAAGAAGGTGTGGGTGAGGTCATTGCCGTCATCCTCCGGGATCTTAAAGGGCTCGTTTTTTATGCTCTCGTAGAGATTCTGGGTAAGAGACAACGTGGCTCTGGTCTAGAAAAGCCTTTCCCCCACCCTGCTCTCAATCCCGCCACAAGCACGCGGTGCTGCAGCCACACGCCTGCTAGGACTAAGAGCAGACGAGGAGACAACAGTCCTGCCTTCAGGCCGCTCACGGTGACGATACAGAAGCTGCCTGATGGCTAATCGGGAAGGACAGAAAGCAGGCTGAACGCCAGCCCACCTTCACTTCAGATTTATAGCCCACTCCTGTCCCGACGCCCTCGCGGGCCTTGCCACGCTCCCTCACACGATGCGCCAGCTCCTGAGTGAGGAGCACGCATCCCGGACACCCCGCCCCGGCCTGCGCCACACTCACCCGGAGCAGCTCCTCCGGCAGGTCGCCACCGTCGTTGATGCCTCGGTTCATGGCGATGAATCTCTCCACGGAGGGCTTGTCCTTAACATTGGGGTTGTGCAGGCTGGTGTTCAACATGATGATAGCGAACGAGAGGACGTAACAGGTGTCTAGAGAGAAGCAGAGATGATCAGAACAGCCGCGGAAGGACATGAAGTTCAGGTACACTGAGGCCCGCTGTCCGGCACAAAGCCCACGTCTGGACCCGCTGCCACTGAGCAGCTCTGCGCAGCTACCAGAGAGAGCAGGACAAGGACATCCGGTGAGACTCACGGGTGCTCACTTTCTCAGACTTCCGCAGAACAGAGCCCTGAAGAAAGTGGGGAAAATGATACAATGCACAGAAGAAAACACACTAACCTAGGGAAACATCCTTATTCACTTTGTTTCCCGTTCCTAACTGGTCCTCTAGGGGTAGAACATCACTGACACATGCCATAACTAAACAGGACTAAAACAGAGACATGGTTTGAGTCCTGCTTTTTGCTAATCTTATTAGCATTTTCCTGTATGAATAATAAAACTCTTTTAAAAACATGACTTTTAAGTTACATAATTTAGACACCACAATTTATACTCCCACTCCTTATGGCTGGACTTCTGAGCTGTTTGCCACTTTTCACTCTGACGTCACTGTTACACCACCTACAGTGCTCTCGGGCACGAGCCCAGCCCCGTCTGTGGCGCGGGACCAGGAAGAGGCTGCGCGGGGCGGGCCTACCCGTGGACTGGAACACCCCGGGGTTGCACTGGCAGTAGCGCTGGGCAAAGGCCTCCATCATCCGGTCGATCTTCTGGGCCTCTCCCGGCAGCCGGAAGCTCCACAGGAACTGCCTGGGGGGGAACGGGCTGTGTCACTGGGCGGGGGACAAACTCGCCACTGCACGTCGCTACTGTCCCCTCAAAGGTAAGGTTTGCAGGAAAAAGTGAACAGCATTTCCCGGTCCAAAAGGGTGGCCCTCCTCAGACAATACACAGAGCTGAAATAGCACTGAGCTCATCTTTCTGTTGTTGTTGTTAATCCCCACCTGAGGACATTTTTCCACTGATTTTCAGAGTAGAAGGAAGGGAGGGAGTGGGGGGAGAGAGAGAGAAACCTCGGTGTGAGAGAGACACATGGACTGGGCCTCGGATCGAACCTGCAACGCAGGCATGTGCCTCTGACTAGGAATCGAACCCGTGACCCTTCGGTCCATGGGCTGACACTCTGACCGCTGATTCAAACCAGTCAGAGCAGATGATGATGCTCATCTTAAATGAACTCGGATTTCTAGAAACCAAGACGAGGCGCAGGAAGACCCTGCCCGAGCACCCTCCTCGACCCTCGAGCACGTCACTATCTGCGCCTGTGGCAGTGAGAACACTGAGCACAAGCTCACACACTTGGTAAAGGGTTAAGTTTAGCCCTGGCCATGTGCACAGTGGTTGGAGCAGCGGCCTGGGTACCAAAGGGCTGAGGGTTTGATTCCCAGTCAAGGGCACATACCTGGATTGCAGGTTCGATCCCTGGCCCCGGTAGGGGTCATTCAGGAGGCAAGCAATTAATATGTCTCTCCCACATCAATATTTCTCTCTCTCTCTCTCTCTCTCTCTCTCTCGCTCGCTCACTCGCTCTCTCCCTCCCCCCTTCTACTCTCTAAAAATCAATGTAAGAATATCTTCAGATGATGATTAACTAAAATAAAAAAAAAAGTTTACTTTTCTCCTAAAATGAAGGGTACAACTACTGACTTCCTCTTTCAGGGCCACAATCAAAGCGTTTTCTAAACTAAAAATTAGAAAAGATTTCAAAATTTAAATGTACATTTCCGGATTATTAAATGAAGATCTGAGACGGAGCTCTGCTCAGCATCGATCACTCCAGCACAGGCTCCTGGAGGGCCGTTCTCTAAGACTCCCAGACGCCTCAGCAGCCCCGCGCATCGCTGCCCTGAAGGGCTGAGCCACAGACAGCGAGCCAGAGCCCGCCTCCCCCGCCCAGGTGCTCCCCGCGCGTACTCACCGCAAGGCCTGCACCAGATTGAGGTCCGTGAACTCGTGTAAGCCCACAAATGCGTGAAGAACCTGGATATTAAACTCATCTCTATCAAGGAAAACAGAGACATGAGGGCGAGGAAACCAGGTGTCAGACACTGAGTAAGCTCGTTCCAAGCCCCAGTGGGGCAGTTTCCCACTACGGCCGAGTCCCCGAGTCCTGTGGGTTCAGGGGAAGAAACGCACCCGGGGAGAAAGAGCCCCCCCCCCTGTGTGCTGCATGACCATGTGCTCTCACACTCTGGGCTCACAGCTGCTGTCCCCAGGGCCATGCCCCTCAGGACAAACTCCCATCAAGAACTCGGCCTCAGCCCCAGCCAGTGTGCTCAGTGTGAGTCTTGGCCCCCAGACCGAGGAGTCTCAGTGTGATTACCGGTCAACGACAGGTACCTGGGTTGCAGGTTCAATCCCGGCCCCAGTCTCTCTCACATCAATGTTCCACCCCCCCCCCCACTCTCTAAAATCAATGGGAAGATATCCTCAGGTGAGGATCGTGAACGAACACAAGGAATTCAGCATTCCAAGCTTTCCTAGGTAACTCCCAACTACCTGCCCTACCCCCAGCCCCGGGCCTCACCTCTCCCCCAGGTAGTCCCCAATGGCTGTTTTGTTGAGCCCCTCCCCTTTATACAGGAACTGGGCGATGTCCTCACAGGTGTTCTTCAGCAGGTCATTCTCTATTAAGAACTGGATCCCCTAAGAGACAACAAAGATGCTGATGATGCTCACCCTCGACACGTCTGAAAGCCAAAGGGCACAGGAAGAGGGTGTGGTGCCCTGGCTTCAAGTGAGTGTGGAATGAGCACGTGCACCCACACAACGGGCACACACGCCTGGGCTCAGGGGCCAGGGCTTCCACGTGAGCTGTGCTCTTCGAGGGCGGGAGCCATACCCAGCACCCCGGCCCAGCGCCTATGCCCCCGAGGCATCCTTCCTCTTACCTTTTTAGGGTCCATGTTAAACTTTTTCCTGCCCATGGCCACCTGTTTGCTCCTCTGCATGTTCTTCCTACAAAACAGCCACCACAGCCCCTTAGCCGGACGAGCGGGAGGCCCAGCAGCCGAGCAGAGCTCCCAGGTGCACGCGTGACGCACGGGCTCGGCACGGTCTCGGCACGGTCTGTCCAGGAAGCACGGGCCCGCGGCCTCACTGTGGGGGTGCTGGATCCTGACCCTGGCCCCTGCTCAAGGGCGCCTTCCACTCCAGGGCTTTCTGTTTTCCACAATAGTGTAAACTTTATGAACCCATACTTGACACAGCACATAACGCACCCACTGTAGTGTACCCCTGAATGAGGTTCAGTGAGCCTACGAAGATGTGCAACTATCCCCCACAACCCAGCTTTCAGACAGCTCATCACCCAGGAAACGGATGCTGTGTGAGCTGACAGCCAAGGACCCTCATCTGTTCAGCCATTCACCTGTTGGTAGACACGGAACTATTTCCATTCACCTGTTGGCATTTTATTTAAAAACATTTTGTAATTGATTTTAGAGAAAGTGAGAGGGAGAGAAAGACAGAAACATTGATGAGAGAGAACATCGATTGGCTGCCTCCTACATGCCCCTCACTGGGGATCGGGCCCACAACCTGGGCATGTGCCCTGACCAGGAACCGAACACCGGCCGGGCCAATTTTTGGCTACTTTAAATACTCCTGTACAAGTATTTGTGGGCAGGCTTCCTTCTCTTGAGTACGATGCCCAGGAGTGGCGTGGCGATGCTGGGCACCGCAAGGGTGTCCGTGTAACACTGGAAGAAACCGACAGCCAGACTGCTTGCCCGAGTGGTCGCCCCGCCTTACGCCCAGCAGCCCCTGCCGACCCAGGCACCAGGCTACGTAGCTCCACCCTGGGTGTGCAGCGGCACGTCCGGTGGTTCAGCTGCACCTCTCACGACCAATGGTGGTGAGCATTTCCGTGTCTACTACACACACAGCTTCTTGTAGAAAGTGTCCTTTCAAGTTTTTTGCCCATTTTTATTTGAGCTGTCTTTTTTATTTAATTTGTATGTGTTTCTTTATATACTTGTATATATCTAGATACAAACCCTCAAATACAGCTAGTGCAAATACGTTTTCCTTGTGTGTGGCTTACCTGTTCAAGTCTTTTAAAAGTATCTTTTAAAAGAACAGACTTTAAATTTGGTGAACTCCAATCTATCTATTTCTTTCAAGCTATAATTCGAACGGAAAAGAAAGGTGTGACGCAGAGCTGACGGCAGACTGAAGCGGTGAGCTGGCCCCTTTCCAGAACAGACGGCCGCACAAACCCACTGCACCGCCCACGTTAAAATGACCAAGTCGAGGGTCTGACAGGGAGTCAGGCTTAGAAAAACACAGGCCCATAGGAACTGGAAACAGCCCACTCACTGCATCAAGCAGCTAGAAAACGGCCTGGGAGCACCATTCAACACTGACCTCTCAGCACTGACATCGATGCAGCTACAACCCCGACCACAGACGCCTGTCTCTGCACTGCGATCCTGTCCGTGCCTCCCTCCTCTCGGGGTCAGGAAGCGCGAACAGGCGGGCACGCGTGCCCGGGCACGACGTTAACAGGCAATGCAGCTTCTCACACGCACGCCCGGGACAGTGAGGAGGAGGAGGAGGGGGCCTCCCGAGGTCTCTAGCTCAGCCTGCCCCACCTCTCAGAAGCCTCCCATCCGCGCCCCACACTGGAGGCTCTGCACCCGCGGAGAGAACGGCATAGGAAACGCGCCTCCGCCGCAATGCGCCCAGGAAGGGCGGCGGGTGGCGAAGCTGCAGCCGTGCGCCCGCACTGCGGACTCACCTTTCCTCTGCGGACCCCAGGCTCTCAATCTCGTTCGCCACTTCTGCTATCTCATCCTTCAGCCTCTGCAAGACAGACGGCCAGGGTGACCCGGGAGGGAAGGGCGCATCGAGTTAAAACCTCTGAACCCCAAAAAGCTCCTTCCGACAAAAAGCAAAATGAAGTGTCAAACCGAGAAAAGATCTAACCGTTTCTGAGAATTCTTCTGTCCTACATGTCTCTAACTGAGCTCTGCCAGAGAGCAAGCGTGCCAGGGCACTCAGGTGAAGGCAGTCCTGCCCCCAAGGGGGTCGTGGTCCGCGAGACGAGGATGCCCCGGGCACACGGCTGCCTCCACTGTCTATCAGAGCCCAGTGCAGCCTCGAAAGGTGTGCGCTAGGTCAGCACAGCGGCCGAGCGGCTGCACGGGGACTGCGGCCCGGGGACTGCCGCCCCCCCCACCCGTCAGCAAGCCCTCGGTGGGGACTGCCCATGAGGGTGGGGCTTTCCCAGCAACTCACCAGTGAAACGGGAGTCAGTGAACAGGGAGAGCGATCGAAACACAGAGACCAACACGGACAGGCCAGTGTTCGCCCTGCGCTCCCCGCAGCGCTGGGACAGGCTCCCGCCCCCCCCCAGAGCTGGGTGCTTGTGCACAGGACCTAGAAAAGCACTGATAATGTCTACAGCTGACTGCGCACTCCAGGGACCAGCGGCCATGCAAAGCCCTGGATACCCATGAACTCATCTAACCCTAGAGCAACCTGTTGGCAGGTGTTTTCACTCTTATCTTACAGAAGAAGAAACTGAAATTCAAGGAGCCAGAGCTCTGGGATCTACAGTCACTCACCCAGTAAGTGACAGTGCCAGGGCCTGGGCCTGGACCTGCTTTGAGCTCTGATCACAGCCCTCCCCTGAGCCACTCGGGAGGTGACGGGTCAGTCCACCCCGCCTGCCGACCAGCTGGGGGAGCTTCCAAACCTCTCGCCTCTCTGAGCCCCGTCCCCGCGTCTGTTGAGCGATGACTGTCCACACCTCCCCTTTGCTCAGAGCCGCGGTGAGTCAGGAGAAGACACCGCAGAGCCCGCCGCCCAGTGGCACGCGCTGCCCTCCTACCTGAATGTCGGCCAGCAGCTCCTGCTTCCTCCGCCGGATGCTCTCCAGCTCCTGCCGCTCCTCCGCAGTCAGGTCGCTGGGAACTACAGAAAGGAGGACATGTCACGGGAAAGCTCTCATCTCGCCAAAAATAAAAACCCAGAGGCCACTAAAGGACAAAGCGACACAGCAGATTCAAAAGGAAGAGGCGCTGGGACCAGAGAAGAGCTTGAGGAAGGAGCACCTGCCATGAAGAGCAGGAGCTGCCTGGGCGGGAGGAGGCGGCGGGAAGGAGCAGGGACAGGCCGGGCCCTGGCATCTCCATCCCTCACAGCCGAGGCTTCAGGCCCCAGTTAGCCTCTCTCCCCGAGTCCCACTCCAGAGTCCCACTCCACGGTGGAAGGACGCCCAGGACACCCTCAGGTGGGGCGGGGGACCAGCGCAAAGGACGAAGGCTGTGCGCCATCTCTGGGGGAGAGGGGAGAGGATGCACATGTGCAGAGAAAAGAAATCTAGAAGGATATACCCCAAACTGAGGGCAGTGCTGGACTCTGGGGACCGGGTTTCGGGACTTTTCTCTGCCTGACACCTTCTATATAGTCTGCATAATGTTTGAAACGGGCTCTTATCCTGAGAACAAAGTTACTTCGTTGCCATCACAGCTCTCACCACAGAACAGATGACCCTCTGTGCTGGGAGACACGTGGTCTCGGAAGAACGAGCTGTGGACTCCAGCAGACTGGGCTCCAACCCCCACGCACCTCTCAGGGCACGGCACGAGTCACCTCAGCTGTTCGGGCCACGCTCCGTCGCCAGCGAGGCGAGGACCCCACCGCCCACCTCGTCGGGCCCTCAGCCTGCTGCCGAGCAGGAGCACGAGGGCGGTCCCTGCGGGGCCAAAGGCTCCGTCCTGACGGCTGGGCAGCTGCGGGCGCCCGTCCTCCAAGCAGGGCCTGAATGAGCCCAGCTCAATGGACGGTGCGGGTCCAAGGGCCACGTGTGACTATGAAGCACTTGAGAAGTGACGAGCCCAGTCTGAAAAGTGCTGTGCGTGTAAAATGCACATCGGAGTTTGCACAATAGAGCAGATACGCTCTAAGATTTTATACTGATCACATACTAAAGAGAACACCTGATACGTAAAATCGACTCTCCCCTGATGTCGCGGCCACCAGAAAGGAACGCTGCCTGTGGCCCGTGTGCCACTCCCACCGGGCAGAGCTGGGCCAGCTCCTCCTGAGCAGCCCGGGCCGCGCCTCCCTGCCCGAGGCAGTGTCCACCCCGAGCATCTCACACACGTCACGAAGACGACACCGCGGGCAGAAGCAGCAGACGCGACAGAGCCAACGGCACGGATTAGCAGCTACGCTAGAAAAGTGTCTACACTCCGAGACCCACAATAAGAGATGCGTCTGACGCCACGACTCCCCGGCCGCCTCAGGACGGCGACACCTTCTGTGCTGCTGGCACGCGCAGCGGCCGGCCCGCCGAGCCCCTCTGTGGTCACCACGCACGGAGCCCTGTGGTCCGAGAGCTCCCTCGCGCGCGAGGCCGGCAGACAGCGTCCCACGGAAGACTCCAGCAGCCAGCCTCAGTCCCGGACTCGGGTGAGCGGCCCACGCTGCCCTGGGAGAAGCGGGGCGAGGGACACACCAGCTCTAGCAGACAAAGCCCCTGCGAGAAACCACACGGCCCAGGGCTCCCGCCGGGCCCAGAGGCAAGGCCGCCCGCGGAGCTCACTCTGGTGGCCTGTACTCCCAGACCAGGGAGATGTCTAGTCCAGGAAGACCAGGCGTTCCTTTAAGGATACTTTCCAGAGGTTCTAGAAGACAAGTATTCACTCTAACATCACATGGTTCTGAAGCCGTGAAGCGATACTTCCTTTTTAACAGCCATCCCTCGGGGATGAATAATCGGCTTTAATTTTGAAGCACAGAGAAGCTTAATCAGATCATGCAGGAGTCCGCCCTGGAGAGGCAAGTGGGAGGTGCTCACACGAGGCCGAGAGCGAGCCGGTGGGCACCGCGTGTGTCCCCAGATGCTGCATCCCCGAGAAGCCAGGTCTGCCGTTCCCACCGGGACTCTGGTTGCTTCTTTGCAGTCAAAGCATTCACATATGACACTTCTTCTAGAAGGTCAGAGTGTGGTTTCTGGGTTATAAGCTCAAAATGCAGCCCTGGCCAGTTTGCCTCAGCGGTTAGAACGTCGGCCTGCGGTCCAGAGAGACCCGGGTTCGGCTCCCGCTAAGGGCATGTGCCTCAGTTGCAGTCCTGGTTGGGTCATGTGGGTGGCAACCACTCGATGTGTCCCTTTCATGTCGATGTTTCTCGCTCTCTCTCTCCCTCCCATTCTATCTGAACAAAATATAGAAAAGTGTCCTCGGATGAAGATAAAAAAAAAAAAAGTGTTTCTAGTTCTCTACCCTCCGAAATACTTATTAGAAAGACTACAGGAACAAAGAAAAGCTGTAGCCCTGGCCGGTGTCGCTCAGTGTTCAGAACACTGGCCTGCACACAGAAGGGTCATTCCCGTTCAAGGGCACAGCCCTGCAGGGAGGTGCTCGGGAGGCAATCAGTCAATGTCTCTCTCATCCATATTTCTTTTTCTTTCCCCATCCTTCCTTCCCTTACGCTCTCTCTAAGGATCAATGGAAAAAATATCCTCAGGTGAGAATTAACAAAAAATAAAAATAAGGAAAAGCTGTTTAAGTCTATGGCAGCCAACAGGAAGGGAGAGGGGCCATCAGAAGAGACATGACAAAGTCCAGGCAGAGAAAGCAGAGTGCCCACACCGCCCTCCGGAAACCAAACTCCAGGAGGGCAGGGCCCTGCACCTGTCACTGCTGCACACAGAGTGGCCAGAACCGTGCCCGGCACCCCAAAGACTGTGCATCGTGTTTATTCCCAGGCCAGAACCAAAGACCCAAACCAACTTGTGAGCAAGCAGCTGGCACGGGAGCTGTGCCTGTGAAGTCTCCCTACACCAGCATTTGGGAGGCCTGGCGTCGCCCCATCGCCAAGAGGGCTCACGGACACCCAGCCTAAAGCAGAGCCCCCGGCCCAGGAGGCCCGTCACGCAGGCCTCACAGGGTGCACCCACGGTGCCATTCCCACACGCACAGTGATGGCCCAGCCCACAGGAGAAACCAGGCGAGGGACAGAAAACCACCTGGGCAGACAGAGATGATTAAGAAAACTTCAAATGAACAGAAAACTCTAAAAAGGGACAATTACAGAAAAAGAATAATCTCTTGGAAATTAAGCATATCTGGCCTTCCAGCCTCCCCCCAAACAACCAAGGCGGTGAAGGTGAGCGAGGCTCCCACAGGGCACAGGGCAGGAAGACGAGACGGGAAATGGAAGGAGGCCGAGAACATAAGCAGGCGATTCATTCGTGAGGACTTCTCATCTCACGGGACACTCACAGTGAGGCCAGAGCCGGCGGGGAGACGAGACGGGGGTGGAAGGAGGCCGAGAGCGCAAGCAGGCGACTCGCCGTGAGGACTTCTCATCTCACGGGACACTCACAGTGAGGCCAGAGCCGGCGGCTCGCGGTGACCACCAAAGCCCCGTGAGTGTAGCGAGGGAGCGCTCCTGGCTGGAGGGGCGGCGACTGGAAGACAGTGCGTGGGGGGTGGGGGGGTCAAAGTTCTCAGCAAAAGCTACTGACCCTAGAAGTAATCCTCAGTCAAGTATGAGGGCAAAACAGGCTAATTTCAGACACATGAGGACCCAGAAAGCTGATCTTCTCTGAACCCCTCGAGGAGGAGGCGGGCGTGTCCACGGGCTGGGGGATGACTCGGGACCCCCTGAAGGACAGAGGCTCACGCCGTGGATGGATGAGAACAGGACGCCCGTGGGTGCCAGACGCCATCACAGACAGCGCAATGATCACGAACAGGAGGTGAACAAGAACACACTGAGGAGTACTGGATATGAGAGGCACCACTCAGTCCTTTCTCAACAGAAGAAAAGGTACGACACCGGGTAACGCCCAGGCGTCCCACAGAGACCTACGTCACCCAGGCCAGCTGAGGTGAACGACAGTCAGGTTCCCAGGGCATCTCACCCACAGCACGACCGAGGGACAGTGAGCGAGCAGAGCTCCTGCTGTCACGGGGCACAGGAGACACAGACTGAAGGCGGTCCTGGCAAAAGCGGGGCGGCGTGCCAAGCCACCGGTGGCCGGTAAGGAAGGGTGGGTCTGGGGCTGGGAGCAGATCCTGAGAGGGCATCGGAGCTGAGAATGGCTCCGGGCTAAGCAGCACGTGGTCCTTGTCGTGTGCTGTGCGACAGTGAACATCGGGGTCCGCCTGTGGACTCGGCACAAAGGCTGATCCTGTTATAGGAGACAGTCACGACATCAACCATGGTCATGCAAAGTGGAGAGAGTGGACAGAGGTGTGAGGCGGGCAGGCGGGTGCGACAGGAGGGCAGGAAGGGCCCCCATGGCTTCTTCTTGGGGGGGCAGGGGGAGGGGTACAGGAGCACGGACGAGAAATGCAGGGTGTAGCGATGGGTATGGCGTCCAAAGGGGGGAAATAAGGCACCTGAAACAGTGCATAGGGAGAGAAGGAAGAGGACGGCGGAAGAGGAGGAAGTCGGGAGGTGGTCTCTGACGCGGACCACAGCCAACGGAAGGGCACTAGGTGCCCAGCAGCACCCGCCAGGTCAGCAGCCCGCGGTGCTCCTGGGAGCGGGCGGGGAATGAAGCCAGGGCATGAGCTAGGGGGCACTTGCACTACTGCATTGTCAAGTGAAAGTGAGAGGTCAAGGCACGGCTCCTAGGAAAGACAGGCCTCTATGACCAGGCCAGGCAGAAAAAGCTTCTGGTTAACTTGCAGTTAGAATACACAAGACATCTATAAACAAGACATCTATTCACTTTATTTAATGCAGGCTCCCGACCTCAACCACGCGATTTGTAAATCACTTTTTCCTTCCACACTTAGTCACCTTAAATCACAGTGCTGCTTCTTTTTTGGTTCAAAAAATCATCGAAGAAGATAAAAACAAAAAACAAAAAAAACAAATCCCATCAGATCTCATTAGATCATTAGGTCTCATTTTTCTCATGAACTTTTCTCTGAGAGGAGAAAAATTCAACCCTGTAACAAATGCATCCTCCTCTGCTTGAACTCGGAGCGCACCTGAAATCTTCACGCTCACGCTGCCCACGGGGAACACAACACTGGCTCTGGCTGAGAGCGGCGGGAGTGACCGCAGCCTGGCCGGCGTCGGGGCCCTGGAGGCCGCAGCAGGACGGGGAGCAGGCGCTGGCACTCAGACAGCCGCATCCCTCTGCCCAGCCCCAGGGGAGCGCGTGGGCCCGGGAGGGCATCCATCGATGCTGTGGCTTTTCTGCGAGGCCACAAGGGTTAAAGCGCAGAAGCCGGCGGACAGGCCAGATGGCAGACAACAAACAACTCCTCCTCCCCGACACCGCCACGCGCTGAGCGGCTTCCGAGCCAGGGCAGCGGCTCAGCCCTCTTCTCTCGAAAAGAATGGCAGCTGTGGGGGCGGCCGGCCGCCTGTGCAGAGGACCTGGAGCAGAGCCAGAGGGGCCCGGGCCGCGGGAGCTCATTTACAAGGTTAATTGACAAGGTGTCCTGCTTATGGACGGGACCAGCCCGGTATCGGCCCCTCACCATTCCCCTGCAGGGTTCCAATTCCATGAAGGAGATCAAAGGGCCTACAACAAGGGGCCACTGTGCTCAGCTGTGAACAGAAAAGCCACACAAGGAAAGCTTCTATCTATTTCTTTATTTAAATGTTGCTCTGCAGATTTCACCAGTGGCAGAAACCCAGAGCTGAAATGCGCCCCACGCAGCGTGTACAAAGGAGGGCTGTCTTAAAGGGACAACGCCTTCCTCCCAGCCGCTGGTGGCCACAGACAGCACAGCACGTGGCTGGCCACCAAGGCTCCTGCCCAGCTACTCTCCCTCCTCAGTGCCAGGGGCAGGTGCCCAGTGAGCTGCAGGAAGTTCAAGTGAAAACACAGTTCTTCTGACAGCAGTTTCTGCTCAGCAGGAACACAGGCCGCTGCCAACCCAATGGGCTGCGTTCTGGGACCTCCACCCAGGGGCCGCGCAAAGGAGTCAGCCAGCAGTGTGCCCCGGGGCCCAGACACCACTAAGGCCACCTGGCCACACCGGGGCCCTCTGCCTGGCTTTGAGACACACTGGCCTTGTTCTTCTACCATGATCATCAAACATCATCCTTCTTGGAGCCCCTGCCTTCCGACGGCGAGGGTCCAGACTGGAACCAGCAGGGACGCATTCTGAGCAGTGAGGCCCAGTCCAGAAAGCCCGACCTCTGACCGGGCGGAGGGCCCGGAGGCACAGCCTGCCCCACACGGCGGCGCCCAGGCCCTGTGCCCATACAGAGCTTCGCCGGATGAGCTGAGCTCGCAACACGGTCGCAGCCCGCAGCCCTCCCGCCGCCCACCTGGACCGGGCGGTGTGCCAGGTGCAGCGCCATGCTCTCCCAGGCCCTCCGCTCTGGAGGGCACAGGGCCCTTCACCAACAAACAGCCTTGGGTCCACGCGCACACACGTGGGAAACTGCCCGAAGCCAGGGCAGCATCTCGCCCGCTCCAGACTGGAAGCTCACAGGCCTGTGGCACAGAAGTCCCCACTTGGCGAGAGCTGGGCCCTGACCCCGCTGTCACATCGCCTCGCCTGCCCTGCCCCGCCCTGCGGGTCAGTCACCTTGCCTCCCAGGAAACCCCGGTGACAAACAAGGTGAAACTTCAAAGACTAGAAAGAATTCAGGCTTCGAAAACATACTGAATGCTCAGCAAACTCCCACAAAACCGAGATGCGGGGCAGGTCTCCCGGGAGACGAACGCGGCTGAGCTTCAGTGTCTTTCAGGTCGAAGGCAGCACAGGGACGCGCACGACAAGGCTGTGCGACTCTGCCGAAAGCCTTGGACTCAGAAACAGGCCTGGGCAGTTGTCAAGACCAGAGGCCGAGGGAGGGAAGAGGGGCGTGGCACAGGGTAGGACTGGAGCCCAAACCGGGCGCCGCGAGCAGCCCACAGCGTGCAATGCGGTGCCCTCGCGCCTCTGTGGCACGTCGGCCCACTCGGGAAAGCAGCTCCCTCGCCTTCTGCGGAGTCAGACCCAAAGAACCCCGCCGAAAACCGACCGCCATGCTATTCAGCCCTGAAAAGAGAAGAGCTCAGCACCCGCACAGCATGGATGGGCCTGAGGCCGCGGTGCTGAGTGAAGTCAGCAGGCACAAAGGCCAAGTGCTGCGGGGCCCCACCCACACGAAGCCCAGAGCAGTCACATGCACGCACACGGGAGGAGCAGGTGGGTGCCGGGGCGGGGACTTGTTTAATGGGGCACAGTTTCAACTTTGTAAGATAAAAAAGTTTGAGAGATTGGTTAGACAATAATGTAAATGTATTTAATGCTACTGAACTGTACACTTAAAATGGCATATTTTATGTTACAAGTACTTTATAATGAAAAATAAACAAAAATTGGGGACGCTTCTGAGCAGCGAGGCCCAGTCCAGAAAGCCCGCCCTCTGCCCGGGCGGAGGGCCCGGAGGCACAGCCTGCCCCACACGGCGGCGCCCAGGCCCTGTGCCCGTACAGAGCTTCGCCGGATGAGCTGAGCTCGCAACACGGTCGCAGCCCGCAGCCCTCCCTTGTAATACTTTCATTACAAGTATTTTATAATGAAAAATAAACAAAAATTAGACAGCAACATCCTGACTTCCTGATTTCTGCTCACCTCAGTTCTCCCAAAAAGCTATAATTTGACTTTTGTGTAGAAATTTAAAAGAAATGTCTCACCACCAATTTACGGCCTAAGAGATTTTAAAAGAATGCACAGACGCCGGTCCAGAAAGAGTTAAATGAGCACGTGGCTGGCATGACTAACATTCACCTCCACCAGCGAGGGTGCTTCCAGCCAATCTTCTCATTCAAATTCCTTCCACCTAGAAGGAAGCACGTTGAAGGTTTTACTGCCATATCGTGCATTTTAAAGGAAAACGTCCTCATCGCTAACCCAGCTGCTCAGGCCCAGTTCATCCACCTGAGCGGCCAGGGGGAGGGTGGGGACCCCCCTGCCCTCTCCCGAAGCTCGCACAGGCCTGTCGCCATCGCCGCCTTCCCGAATGCGAGGGTGTCTGAGAGTCCGCAAGCTGTCGCATCCGAGCCAGGCATTTCGCCCTTTACCTACCACAGAAAAGGGCGTCAACACATTGTATCTAATAAATGCTAGAACTCGAAGATGTACTTGGCATAACTTTACGATTTAACTAGCTAACCAATGGGAAATGAAGTCAAATTTCAGGGCAGTAAAAGAAACTAAGTCACAAAATGTTATCCTAAAAGTTTGGTTTAGAAAAACAAAGTTAACCCATTTTCAATAAAAGCGAAACAAGAAAACAACCACGTTAAGAACCTCAACCGTTCGAAAGCCAGGCAGCGCCCACGTCCACCCCAGGCCTCGACCCTTTCCGGACGCCCACGTCCAGCCCGGCTGCAAAGCTGCTCCGGAAAGGCCGCAGGAGCGAGAGCCGAGGGGACCCGCTCAGCAGGGAAGACGTCTGCTCTAGCCTGGCCTCCCTGGACTGCGGTGTGGTCCATGGCTCTCCAGGACGTCCGGGAATCCCCCCCACTGAAGCCTCTGTGCCCGCCCTGGCCCTTCCTCCAGTGGCCCTGGCAGCCTGTGCCAGCTGCGATGCCGTCACTCCGCACAGCTGCGTCACCACACCCTCCATGTCCAAAATAGAGGCTCAGGGGGTTTTAAGAAGTCAGCTCCCTCTCACTAGACCCTGGTTCCCGGAACGTATCTGCACACCGGCCCTCTGCACACCGCGGGGTCTTGCTGCACACGGACACAGCCCCTTGGACTGCCAGCTGGAGCGGGTTCCCGGGACCAGCTGGATGCGAGCCCACTCCTCTCCGCGCAGTTGGGAAGAGGGCTGTCCACCCAGGCAAGGGCCCAAAGTCCTCCAAGAACAACAGAAGTCCTGCAGTGGGTCCGAGGGGACAGAATCCCTGGACATGCCCTCGGCGTTCTGCTTCCCCTCTGCAACCTCACGAAGCAGGACCACACACGCTGGCTGTCAGCGCGCCCTAAACCGCAGGCCTAGGAGAAGCCCACGGAATGCGTGAGCATCTCCCAGAAGCCGCTCGTGGAAACCCTGGAGGGGAGAGAACGGGAAAGTGCAGGGCAGCCGTGCAGAGAGCAGCCCTGCACCCCGCAGCTGGGCCACCTCCTGGGGCCGCAGGTAACAGAGCAGGGTCCCGGCTCCACATGATGCTCCACACCGTGGGCTCCCCAAGCCGTCCACCCGCCTCTTACCCAGGGCGAGTCTTCTGTCCTGCAGCCAGGGGCCTGGCAGCAACGTCAGAGCGTGGGCAGGTCGCAGCTGTCCGCTTCAGAGCCCATGGTGGACCAGCACCGAGACCCTGCCGCCCGGGGCTCCTGGCTGGAGGGAGGGACGGAGCAGGCACAGCCTGTGAGCAGCACAGCCAGGGAGGGGGCGGCCGGAGGAGACAAAAGCTGAGCAGAAAGCCCTGGAAAGGGAGCCGAGGCTGGTGGGGAAGCTGGCAGGGATGGAGGCGGCGGTCGCGGGGCTGTCGCCTGGCTGGCACCTGGAGAGTGTGCTGCTCGGCCCCTGGCAGGCTCATTTCCATGAATGCGATTGCGGCCGCCCCTCCTCCCGCTCCCCCATTCGGGCCTCCTGCGGGGGAGGGGACGCACTGCCGGCATTTGCTCACAGGCTGCACTGGCTTCTCCCCCCCTCAGCAGCAAACTCCGATGGCTGCTTCCCCGGAGATGTTAACCCTTGCTTACGATGCCTCCCACACTGCGCGGACAGACAGACCTACGGAGAGCAGGCCACTGGTCACCCCTGAGCACAAGGCCGCCTCCTTCCCCCACTCTGCACCAGGTCTCACAGGCCATGACCTGCTGACTGCCTCACACACCCCCGGCCCCCTTGGCTCCGAGGCCTCAGCCCCACTCTCCAGAGTGGCCCAGCCTTTCCCGGAAGGCATGCCTCCCACGCAGCGCACATACGCCCCAGCTCCACGCACTGACCACGGCTGTGTCCTGACCAGCGATGGCAACATCACATTCTGGTCCACTCTGGTTCGGGGGAGTTAGGATGGCCCTAGGACAATGCTGGACAATGGCTGGTGACAAGAAACATGACAAGAGCCTGAGAGTAGTGGCCATTAATCTTTGGAGGCAGCGAGGATCACTGAGGGCACGGATCTGGGACCCCAGGTCCCCACGTGCACCAGATCACAGGGCAGCTGGGCAACTGTCTGCAGACCACCCACAAGAAACACCGCCTTTGACTAATAAGGAAGAGGAGGGTTTTTTTTGTTTTTTTTTTTTCTATTTTGTTCAGATAGAGTGGGAGGGAGAGAGAGAAACATCGACGTGAAAGGGACACATCAAGTGATTGCCACCCACACAACCCAACCAGGGCCGGGGACAGACTGCAACCGAGGTACGTGCCCTTAGCAGGAACCGAACCCGGGTCTCTCCAGACTGCAGGCCAATGCTCTAACCGCTGAGCCAAACCAGCCAGGGCGAGAAGGGTTTTTTTAAACAAGTCCCAGATAAGCAAGGAGAAAACAGGAAGTGAATCTCCGTGGTATGGAGGAGGGTCTCTAGCACAGCTGACACGTCGCAGGTCGCTGTACTATGAGCCATCCCTCACCCGGCAGCTTGTCCAGCTGTGCCCTGGCCCCGCCCACTGGGTGCCAGTAGCACCCTCACCCCACCCCCAGGTGTGACAACCAAAAATGCCTCCATATGGTGCCCAATGTCCCCTGGAGGGAACCCTGGTCTAGTTAAGAACCTCTGCTCTGGATAAATAGCAAAAAGAGTAAAAACCCTAAAAACATCCCTGCCTTACCCTACCTTCCTGTCTTGTCTCCTTAGAAAATTGCTGTTAGACCCTGGCCAGTTTGGCTCAGCGGTTAGAGCTCTGGCCTGCGGTCCAGAGAGACCCGGGTTCAGTTCCCGCTAAGGGCACGTACCTCGGTTGCAGTCTGTCCCCAGCCCTGGTTGGGTCGTGCGGGTGGCAGCCAGTCAATGTGTCCCTTCCACTTCAATGTTTCTCTCTCTCTCTCTCTCTCTCCCTCCCTCCCACTCTATCTGAACAAAATATGGAAAAGTGTCCTCAAGTGAGGATAAAAAAAAAAGAAAACTGCTGTTAGGAGGCACCCCACCTTCCACTAACGTGGGCCCCACATCCCGGGTCTCTTGCCACCACGACAAGGTCACCCGACCCGCCTCGAACACTCAGGCTGCGCAGTCCGACCACGTCTTCCGAGAAGCAGCCCTACGAGGGACACTTGTTGTGTCGGAACGTCAGTTTTCACCCAAGACTCACGGCAAGTCTGTGAGAAACACCCCGAAGTTCCCAGAAACTCTGCTGACGGCTGGACAGGACCACACTTTCAGCAAACCCGCGGCCCACGGGTAATGCTTTACACAGGCAGATGTAGATAAATACATACAATCTCATAAAATATAAAGAAAAATAATACTATCCAGTCAGTGGGGGGGGGCAATTAGCTAGCCATTTGGGGGAAAGCTAAGTTGTATGTCTACCGCATAACAAAGCTAGTTCTAGCTGAAGCAAAGATTTGTTTATTTTAAAGATTCTTTTATTGATTTTTAGAGAGAGAGAAAGGGAAAGAGATAGAAACATCGATGTGAGAGCGAAACACCAATTGGTTGCACGCCCCCTACTGGGGATCAACCCCACAACCTGGCATGCCCTGACTGGGAATCGAACCGGGACCTCAATCCATGGGACAACACTCAGTCCACTGAGCCACACTGGCCGGGCTGAATCAACGAATTTAATGTAAAAGAAGAAACCACACAAACTCTGGAATGAAGACAGGATCACTAAAGTCACGGACTGGTTTGCTGCACTCAGATGACAGGTTTCTGAAGGGAATCGGGTCCTGTGAGCTAAGGAACCACTGGGACAAGGCAGCGGGACAGAAGCTGTCTGACCCGTCGTGGAGAACAGCAGGACGAAGATGAACACCGGAGCAGGACAGAGAAGCCCCGAGGCCAAACAGGAAGCTGTTGCTGCCCTCTGACAGTAGACAGACAGAGAGGACACCCACACGGCAGGCGGCCCCCACTCGGATGGCAGGAATGCTACCCTGGAAAGACCCGAGACACACCGGGGGCACCCATGCCGATGGAGGCCCCGGGCCTGGGGTGCACCTGCCTGATGCCACCAACAGGGACCCTCTGCAGAGGCAGGCGTGCGGAGTCTGACGCTTCATTTTGGACTCTGCATACACCTGACCTTACACAGCACAAGCTGTGGGGTCCACTTACATGCAGCTTTTCTCCATAATTACTTTCACTAGTGTTGCTCCGTGGCTGGGAGTCCGTGGATGGGGAGGGCTGGCTGGCTGTATGCACTGTACACCGTTTCACAGGGGGACTCGAGCATCCTCAGATTTGGGTACCTGCAGGGGTCCTGGAACAAATTTCCCCTGAATACCCAGGAACAACTTAAGTTTTGGGGGAGTTAAAAGTTACATGTGGATTTCTGACAATGCAGGGCCAGCGCCCCTAACCCTCCGCTGTATTTGGATCCAGCAACAAGGTAAACTTCTATGTTGACAGGTGCATTCAGGGAAAACACGAACGTGTCACCAGCCACTCACCCCGCAATAGCTGCTCAGCTGATGCCTCAGCATTTCCACTGTGGAAGGAACACCCTGAGTTTTGTCACAATGCCTGTGAAGTCCCTGGGGCAGCTACGCCACCAGCTGTTGTCGTAGGTGTGGGATTCCTTCTGGAGCCTATGAATCAGAATCCCGAACTCTTAACAGAAAGTACAAAGGGGGAGGGGCTTCAGATGCAGAACCAGCCGCCGCTGCGGCCAAGAAATTCACCAGATCTTTAACAGCCGCGCGGTCAGGCTCTCGGGCCTCTACGTGGAGTGAGGGGCGCACCCGGGCTGGAAGCCGTCTGAAGGAGCGAGGAGCATGCTGGGCAAGTCCTGAGCTCACAGCACTGAGGGCAGCAGGACTTGACCTTCCTGCCTCTGTCGCCCCTGTGTGTCGCCTGGGTCTATTTACCCCAACACAGCACGTGCTCAGGAGAGCCCTGAGGTCATGAGACCCCTGCACCCTCACTGTGCTGCGTGACTTCAGTTCCTGGCTGACTCTGGTGTCCCTCCAGGAGCCTGGTGGCGGCTCCCCAGGGCAGAGCTGACTGCCTATACGAGGTCACTTATTTTTTTTTTTTAATCCTTACCTGAGAATGTTTTTCCATTTTGTTCAGATAGAATGGGAGGGAGAGAGAGGAAGAGAGGGAGAGAGAGAGAGAGAAACATCGACATGAAAGAGACACATCGACTGGTTGCCTCCAGCACAACCCCAACCAGGGCTGGGGACGAACCGCAACCGAGGTACGTGCCCTTGACCAGAATCGAACCCACGACTCATTGGTCCACGGGCCGACACTCTAACCACTGACCCAAACCAGCCAGGGCAATAGCAGGTCACTTTTAAGACACTCCATGGCCCCACGAGTCTGTGACCACAGAGCATTTAGTGACGGTCCTAGCTGCAGAGGAAACCCACTGACATCCCCACAAGTGAAGCCCTCGCTTCACAGGTAACCAGAGGCCTCGAAGTCTTTTCCACAAACCAACCTCAGCTGAGCAGAGAAAGAACGTCACCGCAGTAAGGGGCCTGTGGAGGGCTGTCGAATGCGAGGGAAAAGTGGGGAGGGGATGCTACGGACCACTTCCGGGAGGTCTAGCCTCCGCCTCTGATGTAAACAGCAGCAGAATCCAGGTGGCCTGCCCGCTGCCATGGACACACTGCCGCAGACCGCCCAGAGCCACAGGAGGGTGGGCCACAGCAGCCGGCATGTCTCGGGTTTCCTAGGTCTAGACGCCTCCCACCCAGACCCACAGCACCTGCCCTGTCCTCACCTCAGCTGACCACTCTGCGGGCTGGCAGGGCCCTTAAGGCCACAGACCTGGGCCTGCCAGCACTCACGATCCCGCCTGTTCTCTCCCAGGGCTGGCTCCCTAGACCGCGCCTGCTGCCCTCCACGTCCTGCCGGCCTGCTGGGCCCTGGCCCTGCCCGCGGCAGCAGCCTGTGCTTCCATCGTAACAGAGAACGCGGGAGGCCGCAGAGAGCTCGGACAGCTCCCTTTCTCAAGGGCAGGACCCCCGGCTCCTGGAGCCCACCTTCCTCACCGGGAAGGAAGGGCAGCTCTGTCCCCTCCACGGCACGCAGCTCGGGGGGAGGGGCTCCGCAGGAGAGCCTCAAAATTCCCACGAGAGCGAGTCCCCTTCAGAACCTGCCGCAGCAGATGGTGACGCCGGTCTGCTGTGATGTGCGCTTCGTGCACCAAGTGTTCCTGCTTAAAAATAAAGACGGAACCGTTTCTGATGCTGCAAAGCACAATTCAACCCACAGGAAGGGCATGAGAACCATCTCTGGAAACACGAACCCATAACTGCAGAGCATGGCTTTCCCTTCAATGCCCAGCTCGGCCTTGGCAATCTGTCTGACACGAGGCTGGTGCACCAGGACGGCAGTTGGAGAGGGAGGGGCGTCCACGGCAGTGCCACAGACACACCCGGGTCCCCGTGGAGAGGCACTGGGCTCTGTCTGGGGTGTCTTCCTATAAGGGATACTTTTTATACTTACATGGTAGCTTACAGCTAAAAATGTTCTTTCATTTCCATTTTTACTGGAACTCCAACTATGGGCATGAATAGTCTACCTAAGGGAAGTTCTAACTCCAGGCCCTGGCTAACCCTCAGCTCTTCACTTCCTCTTAACGTTCTGCAGACTGCTGTCGGCTCAGCACTTACTGGGCATCCGCACAGGCCCAGCTGTGCTCGGGGCCGCGATTCAGGCCCTCAGACCCTGCCCAAAGTGGAACACAGAGGCCAGAGGGGGAGATGGGGAGCCCACAGCTCAGCACATGCTGCCACCGCCACGGTGCGTGCCCAGTACCCGGGGCAGCCGAGGCGCGGTGCGTGCCCAGTACCCGGGGCAGCCGGGGCGCGGTGCGTGCCCAGTACCCGGGGCAGCCGAGGCGCGGTGCGTGCCCAGTACCCGGGGCAGCCGGGGCGCGGTGCGTGCCCAGTACCCGGGGCAGCCGGGGCGCGGTGCGTGCCCAGTACCCGGGGCAGCCTAGGACAGACACCAAGACACTTCAGGGAGCTGGAGCCTCCGGGCTTGAAGGACGAACAGATCCCCAAAGGAAGCAGAGACCAGTGTGGACACACATGCCAGGCAAGGTGAAGAATCTTTGTGTCCCACACAGCAAGGAGCTTGGATTGCACCCCAAAGAGAAGGCTGAGGGCCAGTCAAGGGGGATTAAGCATTAAAAAGGTAAGAATGGCCTGGCCGGTGTGGCTCAGTGAGCATCGTCCACAGAGTGAGAGGTCCTGGTCAGGGCACATGCCCGAGTTGCAGGCTCGATCCCCAGTGGGGATTGTGCAGGAGGCAGCCGATTGATGTCTCTCTTCACATCGATGCTTCTCTCTCTCTCCCCCTTCCTCTCTAAAATATCAATAAAAATAAATAAAAATAAAAAGGTGAGAATGAATAGCCAAAACCAGCCTAGGGCAGTGGAGACAACAGCGCCCCGTCCAGGGCACAGGACAGCTCTCAGACACACCTGCAGAGCACTGGAATGGGACGGAGCGCACTCATACCAGGCAAGGACGGAGGCGAGAAGAGCATCGGCCATGCAAGGGCGCTGGGCCTGAACTGGCCCAGCAGGAGAGGGTCTGCCTCTTTAAAGAAACGTCGAGCCCTGCCTCACCCTTCACCATGCTCTCCGGACGAGACTCTAAGAGCTGGCGCCTAGCCCTCCGCCCCGTCTTCTGGGGCTGCCGAGGGGCGTCCATGGCTCCCCCCACATCCACCTCTGCTGACTGCCATGTCTGCATCATCTCAGCCTGAGGACACGGATCTCGGCACTGGCAAGGCAACAGGGACACAGTCCCAGCAGGGAAAAGGACCTGCTGCTCCTGGAGGTTTCTTATTCAAAGGAGGGGTGCCGTTGATCCTGCCCCTGGCTCTGATCTCTAAATCCCAGCCCTAAAAGGGTGCCCCGCTCCGACCCCGAACCAAGTGCACAAAGGCCCACAACAGACCCCTGACCTAGACTGAAGTGACGATCAAGCAGCACCTCCTGGGGGTCTGAAGCCAGGCTCACCCAGGACAGCAAGGTCACAGCAGTCACTGGCTGCTCAGGCCAGGCGGTCGGGCCTCCTCTCTCAGCATCATCAGAAGGAGTGTGCCATGTCCCCTCCACTCAGTGTCCCCTGCGGAACGACAGACCTTGGCTGCTGTGGACGCCTCTCTCGGATACAAAGCCTCCCACACGCACCGCTCAGCCCAACCTCTCACTGCCTCTATCACCCCCTCTCCAAATGCAAGTATTATAGATATGAACACGTCCCTCCCCCGAGTCTCTCACACATGGCGCAGCTTTCCACATCACCCCAAGATGTGTGCCCACATAATCCAGAGGTGCAGTTGGAGATGAACCTTTAAAATGTGTTTAGTAGGAAACCAGTTAAGGAAAAGCATAAAAAGGACCCCAAAGTTAACTACAGCTTTTACAAAAACCACTCTGAGAAACAGCCTAGTATTCACCTCAACGCCTTCCCTCACCGCTGGCTCCGCGGCAGCCCACGCTGTGCAGTGGCGTGGCCACTCGGGCACACAGCAGAACGCACGTGCGACCCTGGAGCCCAGCAGGGCGGGGGTCTGGCGGCTGCAGGGCGGCCCTCCTGCAGAGCCTGGAATTCAGGAGCCGCAGAACCTGTCGCCCCTTTACTCACGGTGTGAGTGTGGGTGAATCAGCCTTCCCCTCGAACCAAAAGAGAAAGACCGACGGACGCGCATGTCCCTCTGTGGCACACGGATCTAAGGAAAACGGACGCCGCTCATCCTGAGCCTCAGTGCCCTCACCCTGGTCTCTGACGCTGTTGCTCTGCAGTGTCACACTCACTCTGGACACAGGGGACCCCCCAGAACTTCTGACGACTGTCACTCAGATGCAGGAAATCCAGGCAGGGTCACCAAGTCAGAGCCCACTGCCGAGGGGTACTGGGAAAGGTATGTGTGTGTGGGGGGCTTCTTTGGTCTAAAAACACTGTCTGTCTGTCTGTCTGTCTGTCTCTCTCTCTCTCACACACACACACACACACACACACACACACACACACGCGCACCTCAGCTTCTGCTCACTAAGGCGCTCTCTGGCCTCTCTCCCAAAAACAGTGACAAACGGAGCAGTCGGGGCCGCTCCCCACAAAGGCAGCGTCGCTCGTCACAGGATTCCAGGCTGACCACGAGATACGCACCCCTGCACACCGGGCCAGGACTGCACTCACCACCCTCCTCTTCAGTTCTGAGGACCATCTTCTTGCCGCCACAGCGGGACCCCGGAGGTGGCTCGGTCGGTTCTTCCACGGAGAACTCAGCAGAGCTTCCCTGGGCCGTGAGGCTGGGTGGGGCCGGGAACACCTGTGGGCTGTCTGGCCAACAGAACAGCTCAGCGCTCCGTCCTGAGCCCAGGAAGTCGCCGGGGACTCCGGGACCAATCAGCCTCCAGCCCACGGAAGCGTCACTGTTCCTGCCGCCACCCAGTTCCTGAAGTCAAGCTCCGGCACTCCGAGGCCTTAACCCTCCCCTCCCAGGAGGCCGGCCCTGCTCCGTCCACCGAAGCAGAGCCGCTGCCCTGTCTCCACTTTCCGAGCCCTTTCCTGGGTGGAAGCGGGAAAGCCCTGCTCCTCCGATGACAAACAGGGCGCGTTTCCCAAGACAGTGACTAAGACGTCGTAATCTCCGGGCCAGGGTAATGAGGTCAGAGGCTAAAAGCAGAAGGCGGATTTCAGAGGCGGAAAACAAAAACAACAAAACCCCGAGGACGGCACTCCCAGTGAGTTCAATTCTATCCCATGTCGCTGTCACGGGCTCCACCCGCTCGCGGTGCACGCTCACTGCTGAGACCAGCAGCAGCGATGAGGGGACCTCCATCCCACCCCCCGGGCAAGCAGTTCTTCCAGACTGTGTTACATTCCAGACTGTGTTATATTCCAGACTGTGTTACATTCCAGACTGTGTTACATGCTCACTGCTGAGACCAGCAACAGCGATGAGGGTACCTTCATCCCACCCCCCAGGGCAAGCAGTTCTTCCAGACTGTGTTACATTCCAGACTGTGTTACATTCCAGACTGTGTTACATGCTCACTGCTGAGACCAGCAGCAGCGATGAGGGTCTTCATCCCACCCCCACCCCCCACCCCCGGGCAAGCAGTTCTTCCAGACTGTGTTACATTCCAGACTGTGTTATATTCCAGACTGTGTTACATGCTCACTGCTAAGATCAGCAACAGCGATGAGGGGACGGACCTTCATCCCACCCCCCAGGCAAGCAGTTCTTCCAGACTGTGTTACATTCTAATTCTCTCGCTCATATATATGCATCTTTCTCTTTATATATACACCTCCTCCAGCTCTCTTATATAATACATACAATAACCAGAAAATTATATACTATGAGATACATTTCTCTCACTAGACATATTTATATTATCTCGAGATCAGAATACAGATAGCATATACAGAGAAATGTACAGAAAGAGAAACACCAATGTGTACATACATGTATACAGACAGAGCTGGAGAGCTACGTGCTGCTTTACAGCCAGACACTGTCACTCACACTGAACACCCCATAACTGAATGGACATCGGGCACACTGCTAATAATTCACGGCGCGGATGTGATATGCAAGCATTCCCTACTGTGAGACTTTTAAGCGGCTTCGATTTTCCACCAATCTTGTCTCTCCTCACTTCCTTAGCAAACACCCCTGGAAGCAGAACTGCTGGACCCCGACCCGGCTCCCCACATGGTCACTTACAAGCGACAGCCAGCAGTGGAGCGTCTCGTGTCGAGAACACTCCTTAGACGCTCGCTTGTGCTGGCTTGACAGCACCCGTGGGCGAGTGTTACTACCTTCAGCCCCCACTCCCAGGGGAGGACGGAGACGCAGAACATCACACAGCCGGCCAGGCATTCGGGCCGAGGCCTGTGCCACGCCCTGGGGGCTCCTCCTGGCGGTCCTGGTTGTAAAGAAAACGCAGCAGGTGTGTGGGGGCCTGAACCTGTCCTGGGCTGGGTCCTCATGGCAGCAGAAACATGCAGGTCTGCACCAAGACACCAGAGCGCCACCTCGTCACGCTCTGAAGATGACCACAGGCATCTCAAGGGCAGTGACTTTGACCTACCCTTCCCCTTCTTGCCTCACAAACATACACGCATACAGTTGTGAGTACCCGAAACAGAGTTTATTCTCGTATCACTTATTTGTACTACAACTGTGCACCTACCTTCGCTCACCCCTGCCTTTGTAAACCAGTCTGCTTTGCAGGTAGTGTAAACCCACTCCTGGTTTCGGCTCTGCACGCTGAGGTCACGGTTGTGCTTCCCGCTGCCCCCTCCATCCACGACGCCCCCTCCATCCACGACGCCCCCCTCCATCCACGACGCCCCCTCCATCCACGACGCCCCCTCCATCCACGACGCCCCCTCCATCCACGACGCCCCCCTCCATCCACGACGCCCCCTCCATCCACGACGCCCCCTCCATCCACGACGCCCCCTCCATCCACGACGCCCCCTCCATCCACGACGCCCCCTCCATCCACGACGCCCCCTCCATCCACGACGCCCCCTCCATCCACGACGCCCCCTCCATCCACGACGCCCCCCCCATCCACGACGCCCCCTCCATCCACGACGCCCCTCCATCCACGACGCCCCCTCCATCCACGACGCCCCCCCATCCACGACGCCCCCTCCATCCACGACGCCCCCTCCATCCACGACGCCCCCTCCATCCACGACGCCCCCCCCATCCACGACGCCCCCCCCCATCCACGACGCCCCCTCCATCCTCGACGCCCCCTCCATCCTCGACGCCCCCTCCATCCACGACGCCCCCTCCATCCTCGACGCCCCCCCATCCACGACGCCCCCCTCCATCCACGACGCCCCCTCCATCCACGACGCCCCCTCCATCCTCGACGCCCCCCTCCATCCTCGACGCCCCCTCCATCCACGACGCCCCCTCCATCCTCGACGCCCCCTCCATCCACGACGCCCCCTCCATCCACGACGCCCCCTCCATCCACGACGCCCCTCCATCCTCGACGCCCCCTCCATCCACGACGCCCCCTCCATCCACGACGCCCCCTCCATCCACGACGCCCCTCCATCCACGACGCCCCTCCATCCACGACGCCCCCCTCCATCCACGACGCCCCCCCATCCACGACGCCCCCTCCATCCACGACGCCCCCCCCATCCACGACGCCCCCCCCATCCACGACGCCCCCTCCATCCACGACGCCCCTCCATCCACGACGCCCCTCCATCCACGACGCCCCCTCCATCCACGACGCCCCCTCCATCCTCGACGCCCCCCCCATCCTCGACGCCCCCTCCATCCACGACGCCCCCTCCATCCACGACGCCCCCTCCATCCACGACGCCCCCTCCATCCACGACGCCCCCTCCATCCACGAGACGCCCGACGCCACCTCCATCCACGACGCCCCCTCCATCCACGACGCCCCCCTCCATCCACGACGCCCCCTCCATCCACGACGCCCCCTCCATCCACGACGCCCCCTCCATCCACGACGCCCCCCCATCCACGACGCCCCCCATCCACGCGCCCCCTCCATCCACGACGCCCACTCCATCCACGACGCCCCCCTCCATCCACGACGCCCCCTCCATCCACGACGCCCCCTCCATCCACGACGCCCCCTCATCCACGACGCCCCCTCCATCCACGACGCCCCCTCCATCCACGACGCCCCCTCCATCCACGACGCCCCCTCCATCCACGACGCCCCCCCCCCATCCACGACGCCCCCCATCCTCGACGCCCCGCTCAGCCTCACCCTGCTCCACGTCAGAGCCGAGGTTTCGGATTCGCAGCCCAGCGTCTCCACCCCCTGCATCAGGGCTGGTCTCTGAGGTCACTTCCACAGGCAGCCACAGTGGCCGAGGGGGCACAGAGCCCCGACAGACCCTGCCACGGCCCACAGGGTGCCCTTCGTCTCCGCCAGCCCGGGGAAATGGCTTCCTGTTGTCCACAGTGTGGGCTGCCTGATGGCGGGGACACTGAGAATCTTCCGGAGTAGTCCGAGGTATTCCTCTTCTGTGAATTGCCTGTTCGTATCCTTCGCCCATTTTCTGATTGGTTATCTTTTCTCATTGGTTTGGAGATTACTAACTTGTATGTCGCGAATAATTTTCTCACACACTGACACTTCTTTTTAACGTCAATTGTGGTATGTTTTGTCTGAGAGACATTTTGATGTTCCAATCAAATCCCTAGTCTTGTCCTCCCTCTTCGTACATCCTCGGGCACCCTGACCGCGGGCACCGCGCGGGCACCGCATCAGGAGCTGGGAGGGCAGGGAAGCGAGAAGCAAATGCAAGGATGGGTGTCGGGTGGTAAATGCTACGGGGCGTCGAGGTCGGGCTCTTGAGGACAGCCAGGAGGCCAGTGTGCTGCAGCAGAGGGGACAAGGTGAGGCGGAGGGGTGAGTGAGGAGGGTGGGAGGGCCCACTGGGGCCCTGGAGGCGGTTTTAAGGAGTCTGGTTCCGCGGCAGGTGAGCTGGCCGTGCTGCCAGGGCTCCACACAGAGAGGAAGGCCTGGCCTCCCTGGATGCTGGGGAAGAACAGCCCGCGGGCAGAGGGGCAGCGCGGGAGCCCTGCTGGGCGGCGGGCGCAGGCAGCGGCCGACTCCTGCTGTTCACTTGAGGCAGAGCCCAGGATTAGCTGGCGGGGCCCACGGAAGAAGTGAACAAGGTCACGGAAGAGCCCAGGCTCCAACCTGGGCAAGGAGGAGAGGGCGGCTTCAGGAGCAGGTGCACCCATGCCGCACGGCCCGCCTCAGCCTCGCGGCCCCTCGCTCGGCCCACTCGAGGCCCGGGCCCACTCTGCTCCTCTGGCCGGTGACCCCGGCTCTGCTGCACTGCTCGCCACTGCACTCGGGCCCCACGGCCCCTGCACTCTGAAACGAGCCCTAATGGTCACAGCCGTCACTGTGCGCCCAGCGAGCCCCCACAGACCCCGGCCGGCCTCGGAACAGCTTTCTGTCTGGCTCCCAGAAGCCACTGGCAGAGGGGCTGCCACTTGGGCCTTCAAACTGGGAGCGCAGAGGGGCCCAACTGGCCCAACCCCACTAAGAGGCACATCTTCAACCCCTTCAAATGGAAATCCAAAGCACCAGTTATACGTTTGACTGAGTGACTGCATAGCTACCACCCACACAGGCACATTTTTGAGACTGGAAACGGGTGCTGTTCAGAATGGCATCAGCCAACAGGCACACACCGGGCTGCCTGGCAACCTGAACTGAGTCATCCTTGCCCACCACTGGCTGGAGCAGCGGCCCCGGCAGAGTGAGGAGGGAGAGCGGAACGAAGCTATTCGGAAGGAAGCCGTGCAGAGGATCCAAGTACACTCTGAAATCACCGAGAAGACAGCACGAAGCCAGAGCAGGCCTCTGGGCCTCAGAGCGGTGGTGAGTAAGGATGGGGCCAGAGGAGCCGGCCCAGGCCCTGGAGTGGGCACCACGCCACCCTCGGCGAAGACAACAGTTCACTGAGGTTGTTCTGTTCGTATCGTGGTCACAAGAGGCTGCTTGGAGGCAGGGGTTTTGACTCAAGACACCTTTTATTTTCAACTAATGAAATACTGCGAAGAACCTTGACCCTCCCCTGGTCTGACCCCTCTGCTGAGGGATAAGATGAGAGTGTGCAGACACGTAATGGTTTAAAGTGACACCAGAAGAGCCCTAGCCAGTGGCTCAGTTCGTTGGAAAGACATCTGGTATACCAAATGCGGGTTCGATTCCTGGTCAGGACACATATCTGAGTTTCAGGTTTGATCCCCAGTCAAGGTGCATTCAGGAGGCAACCAATCGATGTTTCTTTCCCCCCCATGCCACCCACCCCTCTCTCTAAAAATCAATGAATATGTTCTCTGGTGAGGATTTTTAAAAAATGACACTAGTAGAAAACTTACATTAACATTCACACAATATTCTAGGGAAGTTATTTTCTCAGCACGACACGCACATCAGTCATGATCCCAAGGAGAGAGATGCACTCCAAGTGGGTCTGACGGTCAGGAAAGGGCTGTCTATAAAAGTGAGGCAGGGTTCGGGCAGGAGTGACGGAGCCTCCAGCACCAGCAAGAGGGAGCAGCTGTTACCAATGCCAGTTACACCAAAAGGTTGTGGGTTCGATTCCCCAGCCACCTGCAGGGGAGGTGGCTGAAGACAGAGGCTGCTGGACAGGAGCTTGGGCAGAGGGTGCAGCTAACCCTCGGCTGCGGGCATGGAGCTAACACCTGGACCTCGCTGTCCTGTCGCACTCCCGCAGACAGCAGGGACAGGACGCACAGAGTGGAGATGCTGGGAGCCACTCCGAAGTCTTCAGGGTCCCCTTCGTCTGCCAACTCAGCCCCAGCTCCTTATCCCGGTTTCAAGACACTCCTTAATCCGACCCTGCTGCCCTCCTGCCCCTCGTCTCTCACCACTCGTGCCTGGTTGTTTCCTTTAAGCAAAATAAAGTGCACACATCATATGAAAAGAGAGCAGAACCTAAGGCTCAAAACAGAAAACCACAGCTTCCTGCCCCAGCCTACTCCACCCCAAGTACTGCTCCATAGAGGAAGTTCTTTCAGCTACTTCTTCTGCTAATTAGCCTCGCGTTTCTAAATAACAGGCTCATGCCATTTGTTCTCAGTTGCAGACATCAACTGCCTGCCACAGAGGATGAAGATGTAGCTTTTACCCCCACCCCCTCACACATGCACACACGCATACCCACCCAGTATACCTGCATATACATTCCTGATTAAATTCGTATTTCCATAAATATAGTTCACAGCTTAGCTAAACCATGTCTGTGATGGAAGTTACCATACAGGCAGTAAGTGCCTACTTTTCCCTGTTTGCTTAGCTCTGTCTGTTACTGACTGATCACCAGACTCTACCAAGGTATAAAGCTATCAGTACGTCCACGTGCCACATGATCTGCTCTCTGGGACGGCCCTCCACTAATCTCCACTCACACTCGAGCCCGGTCTTGCTGCTTGCTCCTGGGCCTCATTTCCCGCAGCACCCTGAGAATTCCCCCGGCTTCCTAGGGCTGGTTTCTTTGATTCCATGTGTCCTTCTTTCTTGAATGACAAGAAAGAGTGTTGTAAATTCTGGGTGTCTAAAACACCTCTATTCTTCACACTTGACTGACATTTCAGCTGGGTATAAAATTCTAAGATGAAATCATTTTCCTCAGAATGATGGAGACGTTCTCTGTTTTCTGTCCCTGTACCACTGTTGGTTATGATGCCATTCTGATCTCCAGGGTGTTTATATGTGACCTTGTCACCTCAGAAAGCTTTCAGGATCTTATCTCTACCCTAGATGTGAAATTTCATAGAAAGGTGGCAAAATTGAGTCTTTTTTCATACATTACGTTAGCCACTAGGTAGACCTAGTTCTAAAATTTCCTCTGATATTTTCCTATCCTTTTTCTTTCAGTTTTCATTTTTTGGAATTTTATTAGACACTAGATCTCCAATGTGGATCATTTAACTTTTCTTATCTTTCATTCCTACTTCTATCTCCTTGTTGAGCTGCTTTCTAGGAAATATTCTTGCAATGGACTGAATATGTCTCCCCAAAATTCCTATGTGGAATCTGCACCTAACGCTGTTTGGAACCGGAGCCTTTGGGAGGTGAGTGGGCAGTGAGGGTGAAGCCCCCATGATGAGATTGGTGCCCTGATAAAAGGGCAGGGGGCTAACACATGCTCTTTCCACCAAGTGAAGACACAGCAAGAAGACAGCCCTCTACAAACCAGAAAGAGGGCCCTCACAGGAGCCTGAGCATGCTGGCACCTCACTTCCGGCCTCCACTCTCTGAGAAATAACTGTTGTCTACGCCATCCGGTCTGCGGTCCTGTCATAGCAGCCCAAACTAAGACAATGCTTCACCTCATCTTCCAACCTTTCTATGAAATGTTTTAGTTTTGCTTTTTTGAATTTGCAAGAACTCAGTTATCTTTTTTGATAGTATCCTATTCATGTTTCAATAATATATCTGAAATTGTAAGTATATAGTTTTTAAAGCTGTCTTCTAGATATTCTATGACCTGTCTCCTCAAATTTCTATTCTCTTGTTTGCCTTGTTCTCGTCAATGTTGAGGATTTCCCTTCACTAGCTAGTAAACACGGGCTGTTCCTTTACCATTAAGAGTGAGGCACTAACAACCTGATGAGAAGCACTGTGTGGTGGGCATGGCTAACTCCTTGTCTTTGATGAGGTGTGTGATGTTAGCTGGTATTGATTTTGCAAGCCTTATACCTTCCAGGCCCTCGGGCCTGCTGTTCCCCACCCCTGCTATAAACCAACAATGCAGTAATGCATAGAGACCTCCCAATGAGGGGCTCTGCAGGTTCTTTTTTCCTGGGCTAGTGATCCAAAGCAGCACTGCCCAGCCTCCTCCCGGGCTACAGGCTACAGTCCGGGCCAGCAGCACTGGGCAGCCAGAGAGCACAGAGGGGAGCTGCTCAGAGACCTGGGCATTCTAACTGCTCACGCGAGCACGGCCACCCTCCCCCAGCGCTGAGCCTCTCCGCACATCTGTCCTCCAAGGCCCCTGGTGCCTGCAAGCCTGCCTGGGATTTGGGGGTAAATCGCTGTTTCTGATGTTTTGGGCACACAGCACATAGTGTCCCACAACCCCACAGGTGCATCTGTGAGCGGGGTGGACGTTGCAAAGCCCTCGGTCCTCTCCGACAGAAACCCAGACACCTGGGATACTGCAAACTCTCGTCCGCTCCCGCGCGGGTCACCTGAACACGTGGACTGCACTGTCTTTGCTCACAGGCGGCTAGCTCCCAAAGGGTCCGGAAAAAGACTCGAGGGGAAGAAATACGCTGTGTCCCAGGGAACTGGAATACAGAAAGACTTCTGACACGCGCCTGCCCACCTTGCACCTGGCAAAGCAGCAATGGGCTTCTGATCACACTGGTCAGTGCACAACTGTGCGTAGCAGATTTTACCACTTTTATCATCAAAAGAAAAAATCAAAATCAATTAGATATCAAAAAACCCAAAACCCCAAACCATGCCCTTGTGCCCTTTATTTTATGTACACAATTTGAATTTCGATTTTTTTCCAAGAGCAATCAACTTTTCCAAGAGAAAAATAAGAATGAGAAAGGCCAACTCTTCACAGTGGCTGATCTTATTTTCCACGAAAATCCATTCCCATCTTGGCCGGTTTGGCTCAGTGGCTGGAGCACTGGCCTGCAGACTGAAGGGTCATGGGTTCGATTCCTGATGAAAGTCAAGTACCTGGATTTCAGGTTTGATCCCTACTCCGGTCAGAGTCGTGCGGGAGGCAACCAGTCGATGTGGCTCGCTCACGTCCATGTTTCTCTCTCTCCCTGCCCTTCCCTTCCACTCTATCTAAAAATATCAATGGAAAAATATCCTCAGGTGAGGATTAACAAAACAAACAAAAAACAGCTCCACTCCCAATGCCAGAAAATGTACCAGGTTGAGTTTATGTGCGTTTTTTCGGAGAAGGGCGCTGACAGGTTCACCAGCCGCTGGGAAGACCCCCCGAGTCTTCGCTGAGTGCGTGGAGGAGCCCTGTCCCCAGGGAATCCTGGTTAAGTGATGCCCCGCTTTCTGGGGGTGATGGAGTGAGGCCCTGTGGGACTGCATTCAGCAGTCATCACCATCACCACTGTCCTAGGGGACACTTGGAAACGTGTCCTGTGTGCTAAACACACCTTTCCCCACAAAGACAGAGACACAGCATGACTCACAAATGAGAAAGAAGAAACCTCACGTTGTGATAAACTTCACATTACGCCTGAAAGCAGTTGCTACAACAATTTTAATGCCCTTTTTAAAAAGTCAAAAATAGTGGATGTGGTCAATTTGATCCACGCTGCCCTCTGCTGACCACTTGAAGAGACTGTTAACAGAGTTACCATCAGCCACTTTTGCCAATAAATTACCTTTGCAAGGTATGTACACAGGAAGAGGGAAGGACATTCCTGTTCTCCCTAGAATATGGGCCGTGCCCTGGAGGTGCCCACCAGCACCTGTTTTCTGGAAAGGTTTCATACCAAAGTTGGTCTGTCTCCGTCCATACACTCTGGCTAGTCAGTGGGAACAGGAAGAGCCGGGCACACACAGGCCACACACACAGTTAGCAGCAAGGAAACCAGCACGCCAGGCTGGTGATGTGTGGGGACCACAGGGAGCACGTGTGGGAGCGAGGGTTATTGAAGCATTAAATCTGGGGTCTGGGCAGGCTTCACTGAGAACATGAAGCCGGAGCCCTCCCCTCCCCCAGAGCACCAGAAAGACTGTGCAGGCTTCACCTTTCTCCAGTTCCGTGCTGGAGGAGTGCACTGCTGTTCTTCCTTTGTTTCTTTTTATCAAAGTAAACAGCTTGTGAAATAAAGTATAAATATTAAATGATCACCTTGATTTTTTTCACACAAAGAGGATTATCTAATCAAAGGCAGAATATATCAAACTTACTTTCTTCTTGTTTTAAATTACAGAAGAAATACACGATTACTACACTCTGGGGCTGAGGGGAAGTTGAAGAACATAAAAAATACAAAAAACTTACAACCCTTTTTACTGCTCACTTGACAAAGGTTAACAACATTCATCTTCCTACAAGTTCCTGTTTTTCAATTATTATGTGTTAGAGATTTTTCTGTCGGAGCATCTAGATCGACTTGAACCTTTGAAAACTGGGACATTCCACCGTCAGGGCTGCTCACACTCTGCTTTCCTGCCGACGGGCGAGCCCCAAGCTGTTTGCGCGCCGGCCACACGCTGCCCCGGTCAGCACCCTCCCGCACCTGTCTGCGCACCTGTGCAAGCCCGTCTGCCAGAGACTCGGAGAAGCTGGATTAGAGTCCACGGGTATGGGCACTTAGCTATTTTGAATGACTTCAGACTTGCAGAAAAATGGCCATAACATGGAGTTCCCCCAACATCCCCTAAGTTACCAGCTTACGTAAGCACAGTACAGCCGCAGAGACCAGAACATGATACAGAGCAATAAGGAGCCCAGCCATCCTACTGGGTGACACCAGCACGCTCACGAATGTCCTTGTTTCTGGCCCGGGATCCAGCCCAGGAGACCCCACTGCATTTTGCTGGCCTGTCTCCTGAGTCACTTCTTCGTGCCGGTTCCCAGGTCCTTGTGTGCTGTGGACTCAGTACTCTGCAGAGCGCTGGTCAGTTACTCTGTGACATGTTCCCCAACCTGGACTGGTCTGCAGTCTTCTGATTCGAGAAGTTCAGCACTTTGGGCAAGAATGGTACAAAAAATGAGGTTGTGTCCTTCTCGGAACATCGTGTCAGGGGTCCGTGATGCTACCCTTGAACATGTGGTAGAGTCTCGTCCACCAGGTTCCTGTAGATCCCCCGAGAGGACGAGGTGTCTGCCCCTCATCACCCCGTCATGCCCACCCATCTTAGTGTCACTGGCTACAACTTCCTCAGGCTGGCTGCTGTGTCTCCTGGCTCGTCCCCATCCCTTTAGCACGTCCTCACTCCCTGCCAGCGCGAGATCTCCAGGCACGCTCCTCTGCAGTGCTCCCTGCCCCAGCCCCGGACCACCGCTTCCCCAGGACCCCTGGTTCCTCCCTGGGGAAGGGTAGACACCCAGACCTGGGCCCTGGGTATACCAGGTAAGCGTCTTTAACAGCCGCAGACACGACCAACGGCGCTCTGAGCCCGCACCAACTACTGCCCCCACACCGGGCACATCCCCGCCCCTTCCCAGCAGTGCCCTTTCCCCGGGCGCTGGCACTCCTTCCGTGTGCAGGCGTGTCGGCTGCCCGGGTCTCTCCGGTGGGAAGCCATGTCCTTTGTTCTGTTTGCTGAGGTTGTCTGTCTTTTTATTGGTTTGTAGGGCTCTTTGTATTATTTTATTTTATTTATTATTTATTTTTTTAAATCCTCACCCGAGGACATTTTTGCATTTATCTTCAGATGGAGTGAGAGGGAGAGAGAGAGGGAGGAAAAGGGAGAGAGAGAAACATCGATGTGAGAGAGACACATCGACTGGCTGCCACCCACACGACCCCAACCAGAGCCGAGGACAAACTGCAACCGAGGCACATGCCCTTAGCGGGAACCAAACCCGGGTCTCTCTGGACCACGGGCCGGCGCTCTAACCGCTGAGCCAAACCAGCCAGGGCTCTTCATATATTTTAGATAATGATCATTTGCTTGTTAAGTGTTGCAAACATCTTCTACAACCATGCTGCCTATCTTTACTCTTTCACGACAGCTTTTGTCACACGAAATAGAATATAAATATTATCTTTATATATAAGTTCATTTATATGAAGTCAAGTCTGTCCATTGTTTTTTTTTCTTTCATGACTTCCCTGCTTGGGAAGTAGTGTTTCTTCCCTCTAAAGCTGTAAAATATTCACTTTAGAATGTATATAATACATATCTATGTATATGTAAGATATACTTAAAAACCTCCAAATAGATCATAGGTCAACATGTATATAACATATTATATGCAATTTTACATTTTCCAATGGTCACATTAAACAACTAAAAGAAACAGGTAAAATTAACTTTAATAATATTTTTTATTTAACCCAATATATCTAAAATATTATCATTTCAACATATAATCAATATGATAAATAATTAATAAGATAGTCTGCATATTTTGTACTAAAGTTTCAAAACCCAAAGTTTTGTGTGTTTTCTTTAAATCCTCACCTGAAGATATTTCTCCATTTATTTTCAGATAGAGTAGGAAGGGGGGGAGGGGAGCAGAGAGGGAGAGAAACATGGATGTGAGAAAGACACACCAACCAGTTGTCCCCAACCAGGGATGGGGACTGAACCACAACTGAGGTACATGCCCTTGACTGGAATCAAACCTGAGACTCTGGTCCACGGGCTGACACTCTACCACT